GAAGGAAGGAAGGAAGGAAGGAAGGAAGGAAGGAAGGAAGGAAGGAAGGAAGGAAGATTATAATAAGAGTGCGGGAGGGTCTGAGGGAAGTCCTGCCTTAGCACTTGACCACCACAGGTGCCCCTGACATGATGTCGAGCTGGTCACGCCCACCCTGGCCACACCTACCCCAGCCACACCAGCCAGCCCCCCAAGGTCAAACACAACCCTGATGCAGCCCTCAATGAAGTCGAGTTTGACACCCCTGCCCTACTCTTAAGTATAGTATTACTTCTGATGATTTAAAGCATAATTTAAAATAAAAACAAATTGATGTTTTCAATCATTAGAAAAGTGCAATATTTCCACAATATAACTAATTTTAGTAGATGTATTACTTATGAATGACTTGGACTATTAAATGCATTGTAGTTCTTAATCATTTGGATTTTTATTGTTTATATATATTAGAAAAGAACACTACATTTAATTCTTCTGCATCAGTCTGGAAGTCAGGACTCTAATATATTTCCTGTCATCATAATGAACAGAAGATAAATTTCACTTCCAAATGTGAACAATTCAAGTGGAATGTTCTAGAATCCTTCCCACACTTCTGAAAATCCTTATTTTAATTTTATTTTTCCCCCTTCTTTTTTATAAGGCATATTATTTCATATTCATAAGCCTGATAAATAATAGTTATCGTTATACTAAAAAAATTATCCTGATTTTTAGGACCTTCTAAATGTCTTTATAGTTATAATAGCCTGCACTCTAATAATTATTAGGAATGTTTTGCTAATATGGATTTAGTCCCCAAGTACATTCACTCAAAAATCAATTCTGATTCTGGGGGACTCTTGGTAATGATGTCATTATCATATGTGCTTGTTGTTCATTACTGAGGAAAAATCTAGGTGTTATCTGGTTCCCAAACATGGTGCTCTAAATATTGTTAAATAAAAACAAAATAAACCCAAATGTGATTTGCTTGTGCTGGGTTGAGCATAATGTGTGGATCCAGCCATTTTGTTTGTAAATGATGATTTGAGTCTTAACATATTGAGCAAGCCCCAGCTATGATTATATATTATAGTTAAACAAACCATGTCACGGCATGATTTGTGAATCCAGATTCATGGCAATCTTAACCAAAATTATTTTTATCAGTATAATGGAAATGACATAAATAGTTAAGTGGAGGAGCAGGTGAAAAATGAAAAGGACTACCTAATCTATCCCATGCTTGTTAATTCCACCCCAGCCCCCCAGGTTCAAAGATAACTGCAAGCATATGTAATGGTTACAGTTTACTTAGTTGTTGGTTTAAATGGTTATCTGATACTTTACAGCACAGCCAATAAATATTCAATCAGAAATTCCTCAGTACCCAAGTAAATGGATAGCAGGCTGCTGCTTTACTATATGATTTTATTTACTGGTATATATTTTTCAGTTTTATTTGACACCCATCTCACTTTGAGATGACTCAGGGTGGCAAATTTTTAGCAACTTAGCATCAATTCTAATAATAAAATTATTTTTTTCTAAATTATTTTTGTGTTAGCTTTCAGTCAAAAACAGAAAAGCCCATTTTTTTCAAGATGTAAGATAATGATGCAGAATGCAACCAGCTAAAATCTCATATAAATTAAATATATAATATGTAATTATTTGCAGATAATGGGAAATTACCTGCCAATGATCTCAAAGAAAAAAATCCTTTGAATTCAAATAAGAAAGCTAAGAATGACCAGTATTCTGAAAAAAAACCACCTCCCACAAATACTAAGAAAAAGCCAAATGCTTCAGGAAAAAAATATCTAGACCAACAGGACGTCAAAGAAGTACAAGAGAACAATCTAATGAATCAAAGTTGTATCATTAGTAATGGTAAACAAACTTAATCTAAATATTAAAAAACCAGATTTTAAGCAACATTTCATCTGTAAAGAAGATAGTTAGTAAGAACTGTTTTTTTCTTTTTCTTGTGCATGAAACAGAAAATGAACGGCTACTTCACTTAACCCTGGATTTGAATACATTCGGTGCCATTGTAACTTCTATTTTTTCATCTATGATACCTATAGGTAAAAAGGTAAGTTTCTTCAATATGAGTCTACTTTCTGATGCTAATGCTAATCAAATGTATGGTTACCATGTCTAGGTAGCCAAAAATCTGGACAAATAGAGATCAGCAAAGAGACACATAATGGTCTGTCTCTCTATTGTTCTTTAATGTTTGTCAAGATTTTTGCAGTTCATGTATGACAGTTTAAAAAAAAAATATTTGGCATTTAAAGTGTTGTACATAATCCCTTTTAAGCTTATATTTATCAAGATAGGTTAAAGATAGATGTAGTTTGCCTTATGGACTTGAACTACAATTCATATTATAATTAACATAGTGTTTGGTATCAGAAGGCAAGTATTATGACCCAGGTTACCAAGGCAGAGGCAGGCTTGGATAGAATCCTTTATTGCTTTGTTAATTCCACAAGGAACAGCCCTACAATAGCCATTGTGGCTCCACCCCATACTTCCCCGAAGGCAGACACTCTCAGTCGCAGAAACAAAAGCCAGCAAACAAAAAAAAAACATTCACAAAGGCCAAGAGGAAGGTGCAAGCTCATGGGGCAAGGCCCAGAGTCATAGTTCACAGGACAAGGCCACGAGGCAAGTGGCAAGTCCACCAGGCAAAGGCATAAGGCAAGGCAGAGGCAGAAACATGAGTCCCGGCTGAGTTTTTCCAAAGCCAGGGGATGTATACCAAAGCAAACAATTGTTCCTGACAAAGACAATCCCATGCCAGCTGTTCATTGTGAGGAGGAGCAGGGCGACCTTCTCCCCAGCAGCTTTGCAAACCTCCTCCCAGCTTGCCTCCACTCTACTCTCTGTTCCCTCAGATCGAGTAGGGGAGGCAGCTGTTTCTCATCAGAGGGGATCTGCTGCCTCTCAGCACCATTGAATAGAATAGAATAGAATAGAATAGAATAGAATAGAATAGAATAGAATAGAATAGAATATAATAGCTTTATTGGCCAAGTGTGATTGGACACACAAGGAATTTGTCTTGGTGTAAATACTCTCAGTTTACAAAAAGAAAAGGTACATTCATTAAGAATCAAGAATCATAATGATAGTCATAGGATACAATCAACAATCAAATCATACTAGGAAACAGTCAATATAAATCGTAAGGATACAAGCAACAAAGTTACAGTCCTACAATCACAAGTGGGAGGGGATGGGTGATAAGGAGTGATGAGAAGATTAACAGTAATAGTAGTGTACACTTTGTAAATAGTTGAACAGTGTTGAGGGAATTATTTGTTTAGCAGAGTGATGGCTTTCGGGAAAAAACTGTTCTTGTGTCTAGTTGTTCTGGTGTGCAACACTCTATAGCGTCGTCTTGAGGGAAGGAGTTGAAACAGTTTATGTCCGGGATGTGAGGGGTCTGTAAATATTTTCACAGCCCTCTTTTTGATTCGTGCAGTATACAGGTCCTCAATTGAAGGCAGGTGGATAGTAATTGTTTTTTCTGAAGTCCTAATTATTCTCTGAAGTCTGTGTCTATCCTGTTGGGTTGCAGAACCAAACCAGACAGTTATAGAGGTGCAGATGACAAACTCAATAATTCCTCTGTAGAACTGTATCAGCAGCTCCTTGGGCAGTTTGAGCTTTCTGAGTTGGCACAGTAAGAACACTCTTTGTTGTGCTTTTTTGATGTTTTTGATGTTAGGTGTCCATTTTAGGTCATGTGATATAGTAGAACCTAGAAATTTGAAGGTCTCTACTGTTGATACTGTGTTGTCTAGTATTGTAAGAGGTGGTAGTATGGGAGGATTTCTTCTAAAGTCTACCACCATTTCTAAGGTTTTGAGTGTGTTCAGTTCCAGATCATTCCGGTTACACCACGAGGCAAGTTGTATAACCTCCTGTCTGTATGCAGATTCATCGTTGTCTCGAATGAGACCAATCACTGTTATGTCATCAGCAAACTTCAGTATTTTAACAGATGGATCATTTGAGATGCAGTCATTGGTATATAGGGAGAAGAGAAGTGGAGAAAGCATGCAGCCTTGGGGGGCCCCTGTGCTGATTGTACAGGTATGCCTACAGGTATGCCTACCTGCAGCTGATACTCCCCCATGTCCATGGGGGCAGACAGCTCTTCATCCAGTCGACCAACGCCTGAAGAGCCAGCATCATCCTCAGCCCCTGGCCACTCCAAACATTGCAAGGGAGATGCGCCATCCCCTGTCAGACAGTCCCAATTCCAATTCCTCTTTCTCCTCCAAACTGGGACCTGATGGGGCCATGGCAGCAAGGTTACTCTGGTCTGACACCTTTCTTCTGGTCTCCAAAAGCAGAGGCAACCTCATTTTGCACTGCATTTCTACTCCTATTTTTCCCACTCACATCCATGTTAAACAGGGACAAAAGGAATGGGGAAAATTTAAGGAAATTTAAAAGGACTCTGCAAGAATAACATAGCCTAGCAATTATAGAGAGTGGACAGATCAGGAAGTGAGAATTCCTGGTAACTACCAGCACTCAAATTGCAGCTACAAAATTAATTTCCCAGAATTTCTTTCTTTCACAAAAAAATCAGAAAAATTATTCAATGCAGATGATACTTTATGATAATATGGGCACAGAGCTGTATATATGCAACATAAATACCATGTTTGAAAGTCCAAAATTTTATTAAAAATATTGTCAAGATCAAATTAAAAAAATAGTACTATCACAGCCTGCCCAAACTCTTTGGGATATGACAAACAAATACACATAATTGTAATAATTCCATTTTATAATTTTGATGGACTTGGCAAAATACATTAATTTAAATTGACTGATGGAAATTAAAGGACTCAAAATTCTGGCAGGGAAAGACAGTTTTTCCCTACACAGCCTCACTCCATGTTTTTTAAATAGTCTTAATTTAGAAGGAAAATTCAAATCCAGTTGAGGTTAATTTTCAGTAAATATGCTTAGGAATGAAATCTGCAAATTTGGCACTGTAATACTTGAGCAATCATATAAAAAGGAATAAATATGAACTAGCACTGCCATGTAAGTGGGATATATCCATTATTATTGCAGACCAGCTTGTCTATTTCAAGAATTGTCAGTCTGATAGTCTATTTTTTCCAACACTGTCGTAAGTCTAAATGTTTTACTTTGCAGGTTGGGAGAGGGTGGTAAAACAGTACTATGAAATTCTCTTTTAACATAATTTAAAGTATTTGCTATATATAAATAATTCTATATTTTCCAATTATGGTATTTTACAGCGATAAACTAAAAGATTGTCATTCGCTTCTCTTTTGCACCCCCTTGCATTAAAAGCACTAATATCAGAGGAGAATCAATCTTGTGTCCATCTGGAAGCAAATACTAAGATTTTATCATCTGGGTTATGAGTTTCTAAAAAGCTACAAATAATTTAATGCTTTTATAGCATTTTATACAGTTACATTTCCCATTCCACAAATGGGAAAAGAGGTATATGATATAGTTAAACTTTGTAATGGAAAATGAGACTTCAAATGATTTTATCTAAAAGATACCAACCTGTTGGACTGCCACATAGTCATTGTACTAGATGCTTTTTTATTTTGTGAGTGGGGGGAGGTTGCTTCAGATAATTTTTTCTATTATTTCTATCTTAAAACGTCAAGAGTGTGAAATGTTGGTTTCTATTTTGAGTGCGAAAACAAATCTATGCATTGACAAACACACATACATAAATCTGTGACTAATATGTTGTATTCATGCTATGCATATCAATCCCCTTTTAGCATAAATTCACTTATAATTTCTTATCTTTTAACGTCTCTTGCCCTTTCTTCTTCCTCTTTGTTCAATTAGTAAGACCAGAAATGTGAAATTTATGGATAGTTTGTTTTATAGGTGTCATGTCATTGAAAACATAGTCATCTTTAATTTTCTTCTGGGCAACTTTAGAAAGGATATTTTTATTGAGTGTTGTTCCTTAACCATATCTCTTGCATCAGGTAAAAAGCCTTGACTTCTATCAGGCTTTTTTATTAGAGGTTAATTGTATGCTTTAGCATTTTAGTTTTGCATCCCTACTGTCTATTCTTGTATTTACATATTGCATAATTCATTTTAAATTTTAAATGTTATTTTACAGCATGTAAGCCTCTGTTCTCAAGGGTAATATATCAGATCTGTGTAATCTGTTCTGAAGGGTGATATACCAAACCTAAAAACAATTAAACTATTTAAATAAAATTCTACATAAGTACAGAATACTATATGAAATTTATATTGCCCTATGTATGGTGGTGGGCAAAAATGACATAAACCAAGGGCCTAGGTCTATTCAGAATGGGAAAGGTTTGCATTTAGAAGTAAAATGCCATATTTGAGACATAGTTTTCTTAGTGGAATGAAGGACATTGAGACAGGAACTTGTTATACAAGTTTCATGTTCTATCTGAACCTGTTATTTTGCTTGGTTTCTTGCTTCATTTATATTTAAATACAATTGATTAGTAATTAATCATAAGGGTAAAAAGTAGAGACTTATGTTTAAAATAGCTGATACAGATTTTATAAAAATAAAGTAGGTAGCATAAAATTATTTTTTGCCAAATGTAAAACATTCCCTTCCATGCAAGCAAAGCATATCCCAGCACTGGATGTTGTATATAAAGTGTCAGTTATAGAGCTATATATAGCAGTGGTATATTGTATCTTGGAAAAAAAACCAGCCTATATTTCAAAGCCAGAATGTTTACTTGCTGGACCATACTGTTTCACGCCTGATCCATCTCATTGTTGGTGCTTTAACTATTTGGTCCCTGGCCCTCTCTATTAAAAGTGTACTCCTTCAGTACAGATTTTATGTCAAAATGGCATGATGGTGTAAGCAGAGCATTAAAGACAATGGTGCATTTAAATATGTCATCTTACCTCATATGAAGAGCTCATGCCTTTTAACTCTTCAGATTTAAATAGAAGCATCTGATCTAAAGACATATTGACATTTTCTGTCATAACTGATCAAAAGATTTTCACTGTTATAGCATAAGCATTCTTACATTTTTATTAAACTTCAAAGATGACACAATTAATATAGTTAATATAGATAATCTAGATAGTTTGACAGTGTTGTGGGAATTAGTTGTTTTAGCACAGTGATGGCACGGGGGAAAAAACAGCCTTTGTGTCTAGTTGTTCTAACGTGCAGTGCCCTATAGTGTTGTTTTGGGGGTAGAAGTTGAAACAGTTTTATGTCCAGGATGCAAGAGGTTTGTAGATGTTTTTACAGCCCTCTTTCTGGCTTGTGCAGGATATAGGTCCTCAATGGAAGGTAGATTGGTAGCAATTGTTTTTTTCTGCAGTTCTAATTCTCAGTTGAAATCTGTGTTTGGCTTGATTGGTTGCAGTGCCAAACCAGACAGTTATAGAGGTTCAGATGACAGACTCAATAATTCCTCTATAGAATCGTATCAGCAGTTCCTCGGGCAGGCTGAGCTTCCTGAATAAACTGTTTTGTTTTTGAATGACTAAAAGACATTATTACTTTGCAAGCACGTGTCAAGGAATGTTCAAAGTCTGCCTTAGGACAGAATTTCTCAACCTTGGCAACTTTAAGAAGTTTGAACTTCAACTCCTAGAATTTCCCAGTCAACATGCTGACTAGAGACATTCTGGGTTTTCAGGTTCAGAGTTATTAAATTTATCAAGGTTGAGAAACACTGCCTTAGCAAATTCAGCGTGTGAGAGTGCGTAGTTGCAGTCCGTATGTTCATTTATTGTCCGAATAAAGTGTCTTCGTGGTATCATGCGTGTGGATAATAGAATCAACATGTGTCCGTATCGACACACGGATGACAAAGCTTCAGCTCACATCAATAACTTAGAATCCCCATTAAAAAAAAGAGGCAAGGGAATGAGAACTTGTTCTCGCTTCTGAACAAGTGCGATATTTTAAAATATTAATCTGCGTCAGGTAGTCGAAGTAAATATACCGAAGGATTATAAATACACCACCCTCTAGCCCAGCCTGGTACTTCGCCCTCTCTTCCGTATTACTTCTTTGGGGGTAATTATTTGTTGACAAGTTGGGGATTGCTTTGCAATCTGCTGATCTCCTCCCCTTTGAGCAGGCATGGTTTCGTCCTCTTCCCCTCCCCGGCGCTGCCAGTGGTACACCCTGATAGCCGTCAGAGACAGGAAGAGGAGGTGCTGGCGGCGCGATCGGGGCTTCTTTGGTAGAATCTCAGCTGATGCAGTAAGATGGCAGCGTCTTTTAATGTCGCCGTTGCTGGGGGCAGTCCGGAGGGCGCTGTCGCCGGGATTTTCGGGCTGGGTTGGAGGGACTGCGTTCAGCACTACTATGGGTTGGCCTTGAGAAGTGCTCGGAGCGTGAGTGTGGGAGACAAGAGGGGGCCGATTGTGAAGCAATATGGGACGGGGGGGTCGATCGCCCGGCCCTTGCCCGAAGTTAAACCTGCCGAGTTATCCGGCGTTTGGCGCAACTTCTATCAGGCGCTTAGTTCCTAGGAGCAGAAAAAGATACGTGGCTGTGTGCTGCAGTTTTCAACATCGCGCGGCCTCATGGGAGACGGTGGCCGTCATTCTGCAAGGAGAGGGAAATTTCCCCATATTCTGCTGTTGCTCCTGGTTTCTGTGATAAAGACCAGATTCAAACGAAGTCTCCAAAGCTAGGGAAAAATAACCCCTGTGACTTAAATCCTGTTCTTTCAATAGTTGCATGTGGCAGTAATTCGGATGAAACTTTTGCCTCACTAAAGCTTGGTGTTATGAATTGTAGGTAAAGGCACATTATTCTTATTAGAAAAGTTCAGCCTCTTTGCAGATCTGTAGAATTGATCCTGTTTTTATTTAGCTATACGTATTTGCAAAGCTCAATAACTTACCGAGGCTGGTGGCTTTGGAAAATTAATGATGGGAACACAAATCCAGTATATCTGGAGGGCATCAGGTTAGGCAATGCTGGGCATGGCTTATAACTGAAACAGGCATTATAAACCAGACCTTTGCACAGTGTGAGTGATGAAACTTGGATGTTTGAGCTGTGTTGAGAATAGATGAGGAGGTCCAGGTTCAAGACATAATTATTTTAGATACAGTTTTCTAACTAGCCAGAGCAATTGAGCAGACTGTGGTCATGCTTCACATCCCTTTAGTGGAAACTTATCATTTTAGGCAATGTGGTTTTTCTGTTGCAGTAGATGCCCTCTGGAATGGCATCCTGCTCCGTGGCTCCCTTAACTACCTTTCTGGAGGTAGTTAAAACTACCTTTAACTACCTTTCTGGAGATAGTTAAAACTGTGGCTGGCTCTTTGGCTTGGGCTAAGATGGATACCAAACTTTTGCTAGTATATGTATATAAAACAAGGAAACTATACCTGTCACTTTTGTTGATGACCTGTGGCAGGATTTGAATGGAGATATAGTGATTCTTCTGCTCCTACTGGATTTGTTAGTGGGGCTCAGTATCATTAATTGCGGTATCCTTCTGGACTAGTTGGAGAAAATATTTTACAATGGATCTTCTAGTCCTTCAGAGCAGGCATTTCAAATTGGGGCGAAAGAAGAAGAGTTGAGGCCTCTTCCCTTCTTTTAAGAAAAGAAAAATCTTTTGAAAAATTGAAAAGTTAGGATTAAGGTGTCCTCAGTTTACCATCAACCAAGGCCAACCAGGAAATGGATAGAAGTCTGACCGAGTGCTTAGAAACTATTGGTAACTGGAGGAGACACTCAGGCTAAAGTTGAATGGATTTTCTGTTTGTATAGAAGTCTTCTGGCTCCAGGTTAGTTATATCTATCATTCCATATGGACTGAACATGTGAAGGAGCAGGTGCATACTTGAAAGTTTTTCTAATCTCATAATACCTGCTAGATCAGCAGGTAGGTGCTGTAGCAAGAACAGACTTTGCTCATCTTCAGCTAATGTACTGAAGTCAATTGTGAGTTATTATTACAGTGGTACAACAATGTTACTTGACAGTCCAATGAGCAATGAGACCCCCAACGTAATATATTTTGATTGGAGGCTGAATTCCACATACTGATTTCAGTTATCAGCCAAATCCTTGGTTTCAGGCTTCTAGCAGAATTCTCCTTAGCATCTTTCATTATTCAACAGTTTTGCCCTTAGCACTGATTGGAGCACTGAAAATAGGCAAATTTATAATGTTAACTTTCATAGCTATATTTTTCATTTTGTCTATAAAATTTTCGGGGCATCATTCGTGACAAAAGGTGAAAGTGGACTAACAGCATAATCTGTTGCATGTTTAATTGGGTGTTAGTTTGATTTATTTGCTAAAGTTGTTCAGAATTGTTGTTTATGGTCATAAACTTTTTTGCATGCTTATCTGTAAGCTCCTAATAGATTTATATTGGACTAAAGAAGTATTAGGTCATGTCAAATTTCACTTACTTCACTATATGATTAAGTCATTAATATTTATTTGCCAGCATATATTCAACAAATCTGAAATATAGAGTTTCTGATAATACTTCCAGAAAATAAAGAAAACTAAACACTGACAACTCAATTGATAAATAGTACTTGGTATTTCTTTGTGCAATTGCCCTGATTAATGTAATGTAACTATCCCCCTTTCCCTTTTAGGTTTATTATGCATTTTACCTGGGGAACATTTTATTAAATGCAATAATTATGAATTGATATGATCAAAACATGGAAACTGTGTTAACAATTGTTCTGTCAGCTTTAACTTTGTTTTCCTTCTTTAAAGGTTGTCTCATCACTCCCTGAAAATATGAGACCTGGTCCAGATCTCTTTGGTTTTTCATGGGAAATTGTTATGGTTGCCATTTTTACTGTTTTGCTGTTCTTGTGCAGGATGTATAAGTCAGTAAGTATGCAGTGTGGCATTGAACTGGAATGCTGTAAAATCATTCTGCTAAGCATTTAGCTAGAGCAGTTTTTTATACCATATTTCTATGCATGCTTATTTGCCAGTAGATCAATTTATGGATAGTTAAGTTTAAGACTGTGATCCTAAATTGCTACATAGATTCAGGAGGATGATCCTCTCTTCAATCAGAATATATATTGGAAATATTAAAAAAAATAAAATTAAGCTCAATAAATGTTGAGAATTATTAACAAATTTTATTTTCCTTGACTAAACTTCCTTTGATTTGGAATATTTAACACAGCATAATTTGACATTTCCAAATCTAATTTTGTGATTTATAATTATATAAGAACAGCACTTTGCAAAATGTAAATTATAATGAAGTATATAAACTCTTTTCCCTTCTTTCCCTTAAACTAGCTTTTTGTAAAATCTCTCTTTTGCGAAATGATGATTATACAATCCTTCCTTCCTTGTCCTATTTAAATATTTTGGTAAACATCCCATAGTAACCTACAGCATTATGCAAAATTTACTTTTTGATTATACGTTTTATAAAATAATACAACTAATAAGTTATGGGAAAACTTTGTAACATTTCAGAATTGCCTCCATTTGGGAAATGCTTGCAATTTTAAGCCAACTTGTTTTGATTTATTTGTTTGATTTCTATAGCTGCCCATTTCAACAAGGAAGTCTCATAACACATAAAAACAGTTTTTCAAATTAAGACAATTAGACCACGAGTCCCTGGGCTGTGGCCTACTACCAGGCCTTGAGCTGTTCGGAACTGGGCCATGGAAGTGGCGGGTGAATGCACATGGACATCCTCATTTGCACAAGCAGCATGTGAGCGCATATACGTGCATGCTACTTGTGCAAATGGATCTTGTGCGTGCCCACCGTTCATGCGGGTCCATCCCCTCTCTTCCCCCTCCCTGTTGTTCTGCAAGGCCAGAAAGGTTGGGGAACTCTGAATTCGACAGTACAAAGTAAATATATCAGGCCCGGGGACATAATCAAGTTTTCATGACCTTGCAAAAAACCATGAAAGTCACCACCAACACCAACACCTCCCCGCAAAAGAGGAGACTAGACAAAAACTGTTTAGACTGGTTGGATCAAGTTATGGTCTTTTTGGGAGACGACACACTACTGCCTCCTTAAGAACCATAGGAGCCATTCCCTCTTTCGAAGAGTTATTAGTCACCACTTTCGAAGAGTTATTAGTCACCACGCAGACCCAATCAGGGAAGGACCATGTTACCGAAAATAGGGCCCCTGGCAATTATCTGCAGATGCAAAGGGAAAGAAATAATCACATTAAGAGGTCTGGGTGTGAAAAATTATGTTTTCTTCTCTGATAAGTCTGTCTAATTTCACTTAAGGAATGTACTTTCAGTACTATTCACTGTGCTTAAGACTAAGGTTTACAATCTTAGCTAATTAGGTGAATGTGGTTAGCTTTAATGTTGTTTTATTTCAGCCAGTGTGTTATGGTTGAAGAAAACACATTCTAGGAAAAAATGTATTATTATTTCCATTTTAGGTTTCTTATCTAATTAGTGTAAGGTTTATGTTATGCTTGCTACAATACCAAGTCTACTTTTTTTTCTTATGCTATACTAATCTTAAAATTTAAATTGGAAATTGAGTTTCAATCTCCTCTGAAGTTGTGAACAAACTGCAATATTTGCTCTTTTCTTTTTTGCAGGTTAAAAGTAGACTTTATTTAGGTAAGTTAATTTATTTTCTATGGGTTAAGCCCTGTAGAATTGTGTTGGGGCTATTTTCTGTTAAAGATCATAATACTCGTCTCTTTCTTTTTTCTTTTAGAAAGAGAGAAGCAGCTTGCCAATAAGATTGCTGAACTAATTGAAGAGCGATGTAAATTAATGGATAAACTGAGTCTCCACAAAAAAGAGGTAATTTTAATTACTTCACAGTTCAAATGTGAGCAAATAGGTATGGAAAGATAGGCAGTCTATGGGCTTCACTATCAGAACTTGCTAGCAAAATGGCCAAATATGATGATATAAATAATGCCTTTTTTTTTTTTTTTTTTTGGTAAAAAAAGGATTGAGGTGGAAACAGAACAGAATGGTTTTGGCCTGGGCCACTTTGTGGTGGAGAGATTTAAGGATCACAATTGGAATAGCTTGCTTGTCCCCATTCTTTTAAATTTCCTCAAGCCCAGAGAAGAGTTTAAAAAGAGCCCTAAAGAAATCTGTCACTCCTTTTGGTAACATCACTGCAAGGTCTCCTGCTCTAGTCAGAGTAGTAATTTTTTACATCCAACTTAGTAGAAAAGTTGCTATCTCTGTGAATGGGATAACAAGCTATCCATAAAGTCCCATACACTCTTTTTTAAAATGAGGCTTATTTCAGCTTATTTTTTTCAGTGAAGCTTATTTCAGCTTATTTCAATGAGGCATCTTCCTTGTCAGTATGATTAAGCTCCAATGTATATTTATTGGGAGTTAAGATTTCTTAAACACAGGAAGTCATACCTTAAGAAATCTTGAAATAGGAAAGGATGATGAAATTACACCATCCCTCGCAAACGAAAGTCTTAACTTTCTCTAAAGAATCATTCTGCAGTAATTTCAATTAATGTTAAATCTAGATGTACTAGATTTGAACATCCCTTTTAACAAAGCACAAGAATTTCAGCCTTCTCACTTCATGGTTGTCACATTTAAGCTAATTATTGGATTTTTAGATTAAATTTAATTAATATATTTTTATTCTATGCTCAGAACTAAATAGTTTCACTAACTTTTTAGGAAACAATATGATTTGACTTGTTTACTTTAAGTCAGTTCTATTGACTTAAAGTAAATAGTATTGGCTAATACTATTGACATTGTATTAGCAAACCATTTTGATTTAATTAGAGATGAAGTTTTTTCTTCCCCTTTTCCTAGTAATTAATGCTTTCCCCCTTTTTTCTTTTATATAACCTCATTAGGCAGGGACAGCAGTAAGAATGCTCTTTAGTAGATGTGTTCTTCAGTAACAAAAATGCTAAAACGGAGAAGAATGTGCTTGTAGTCAATATATAATGTGTAAGAGTGCTCAATTCTCTCACAGCACATGAGTAATTGATTGGTCTGCCAAAAGGAATGAATTAATTAACATGAATCAGGTTTTGCTGACCTCCAGAATCTGGTTCTTAATGAATAGAAAATGTTAAGTCTCTTATTTTTCTGTCCTGCATTTGACAGGGTAAGGAATATAAGGAATTTAAGAGGGACTTTCTCTCAGATTTTGTCATCATAATTTCTAATTGTATCTTGTCTATAATAGTATCCATTTTAATCACTCAATTCTGATGCATTTCTGACTTATTAAATCAAATATTTTCCTGTATGTTTTACATCAAAAAGGCACATAAAACCAGATTTACTTTCAGGGATGATGTGGAAGGAGCAGTGTTCTGAAGAATCTAGAAATAGTTAAATCTTTTATTTGAAATTTGGTTTTCATACTAAAATATTTCCCCAACATGTTATTTTTGAAATGAAACTATGGCTTATATTTTTAATAAAGTTATTCAATATGTACAATATTATATATTGGCTTGAGAATAATTAAATTTGAAATGATAAAAAGTTTTAGACCAATTTTTCTGAGAATTTATTAGAAAGGGATAGTTTTTGTGCTAAATAATTTTTCATTTGTGCAATCTTAGATTGCTCTTGGATCAGATTGTCATTAAAAACAATTAAAAAAATTAATTTGAACTATTGGAACAAAATGAGAAGTGCTGCTGTTATTTCCTTCTTTGTTTCAAACTTAACATGATGTTCTTGTTCTAGTATGCAGAATTAGAAAACACTCTGAAAGATGGCAGCTTTCTACAAGAGTCAACCATTGCATCAAATATTAAGGTAAAATTGGAAGAGAGAAAACTACTTGTGGGGTATTCTGGTTCAAATGTAAGTATGTGGGTTTATTCAAAGGTTCCTTAGTATTTATTTGTGCTTATAATTAAGTAATTGTAAGTGGAATTCCAATCCCACATAGTACAGTTAATGATAGCTTATTGTTAGGAATGTAAGTCACCCAACAGTTATTTGGGTTGGAAATATATAAACCAGGATAGACATTTTAATACTGTATCTTTAAGAAAATGCAAAAACTGTAATTGGGTGTGGTTTCTCAAACGGCCATAAGATGGAGCCAGAAACCTGGGTTGTTAGGAGTGTGTGTTTAGTCTCAGAAGAGAGTCTCAGTGAAGTGAGTGAGTTTCTGTTTCCTTCTGTTGGAGAGAGTTGCCGTTCCTCCATATTTCCCTATTGACTGTTATTCTTGGATTTGATGTAAGTCTGTTACTGAACTGTTTTTGATACTGGACTTTGATATTTGGATTATCCCTGAACTGGAAACTGACTGCTTTAACTGTGAATGACTTGAACTGCTTATCTTGGACTTTGCTTAAACATTTATTGGAAGTAAAAACCTACATTTACTGTACAGTGTATCTGTGTGCTGTGTGTGTATTATTCAACATTACTCTCACTACGTCTTCCTGTATGTGCTCATTCTCCTAACGGGGAATTACCTCAACATTTATAATACAAGTATTTGCAAAATACTATCCTCATTATTAAACACCTCTTGCTTGAGCAGCATAATCAAGTTAAATTTTTCTCGTGTAAAAGTAGAATCTAGAATGTTGAAAATTATAGCATTTCTGCATATAGCAAATAAGATTGACCAAAAGATTTGAGCCATTTCGAAATAAATAAGAGTTTAAGCCATAATGTTAGATGTTCAGGAAATGGATTATTAATATTCTCTAATATTAAAGATCTAATTTATGATAGGTTTCTGAAATAGAATTAGGCTATATATTAAGCAAGCTTGTACATAACTCTTGAGTCAACTTAGAGAATTTGACTAGATATTCTTGAATTGAGCTTTGTCATTTTTATGACATGTACACAACTTGATAAATTTGTATTAGGTTATATTTTATTTTTAGGGCTATTCCTAATTTGTGATGATTAATTACAGCTAAAAGTTTTTAATAACTATTGTGTTCTAGAACACGTACTTCTGAATATCAGCATGTTTTAAAACTTGGTATTTTAGATACAGTATGAAGAACTGAATGGTTCAAACTCAGCACTCAAGAATGAAATAGAACACTTAGAAAAAGAATTGAAAGAAAAGAAATCTAAACAATCAGAACAGGATGATTTGGTAAGTCTTCTATACAAAGCAAACTTTCGGAAGCAAAAATATTACAATGCAATTTATATATTATATCTAATATCTTGTTTTTTCATTTTTTAAAAAGTGGGTAATATCTCATGGTTGATTCATTTTTGCTTATTTGACAAAAGTAACATATTTGAAGGCTGAGTCAACATACATTGCTCAAAAAAATAAAGGGAACACTTAAACAACACAATGTAACTCCAAGGCAGTCACACTTCTGTGAAATCAAACTGTCCACTTAGGTAGCAACACTGATTGACAATCAATTTCACATGCTGTTGTGCAAATGGAATAGACAACAGGTGGAAAGCATAGGCAGTTAGCAAGACATCCCCAATAAAGGAGTGGTTCTGCAGGTGGTGACCACAGACCATTCCTTAGTTCCTATGCTTTCTGGCTGGTGGTTTGGTCACTTTTGAATGCTGGCGGAGCTTTCACTCTAGTGGTAGCATGAGATGAGGTCTACAACCCACACAAGTGGCTCAGGTAGTACAGCTCATCCAAGATGGCACATCAATGCGAGCTGTGGCAAGAAGGTTTGCTGTGTCTGTCAGCATAGTGTCCAGAGCATGCAGGCACTGACAGGCCAGTACATCAGGAGACGTGGAGGAGGCCGTAGGAGGGCAACAATCCAGCATCAGGATCGCTACCTCCGCCTTTGTGCAAGGAGGGACAGGAGGAGCACTGCCAGAGCCCTGCAAAATGACCCCCAGCGGGCCACAAATGTGCATGTGGCTGCTCAAACCATCAGAAACAGACTCCGTGAGGGTGTTATGAGGGCCCGATGTCCACAGGTGGGGGTTGTGCTTACAGCCCAACACCGTGCAGGACGTTTGGCATTTGCTAGAGAACACCAAGATTGGTAAATTCGCCACTGGTGCCCTGTGCTCTTCACAGATGAAAGCAGGTTCACACTGAGCACATGTGGCAGACGTGACAGGGTCTGGAGACGCTGTGGAGAAAGTTCTGCTGCCTGCAACATCCTCCAGCATGATTGGTTTGGCAGTGGGTCAGTAATGGTGTGGGGTGGCATTTCTTTAGGCGGCTGCACAGCCCTCCATGTGCTCGCCAGAGTAGCCTGACTGCCATTAGGTACCAAGATGAGATCCTCAGACCCCTTGTGAGACCATATGCTGGTGCGGTTGGCCCTGGGTTCCTCCTAATGCAAGACAATGCTAGACCTCATGTGGCTGGAGTGTGTCAGCAGTTCCTGCAAGACGAAGGCATTGATGCTATGGACTGGCCCGCCCGTTCCCCAGACCTGAATCCAATTGAGCACATCTGGGACATCATGTCTCGCTCCATCCACCAATGCCACGTTGCACCACAGACTGTCCAGGAGTTGGGGGATGCTTTAGTCCAGTTGTGAAAGGAGATCCCTCAGGAGACCATCCGCCACCTCATCAGGAACATGCCCAGGCATTGTAGGGAGGTCATACAGGCACGTGGAGGCCACACTCACTACTGAGCCTCATTTTGACTTGTTTTAAGGACATTACATCAAAGTTGGATCAGCCTGTAGTGTTTTTTTCCACTTTAATTTTGAGTGTAACTCCAAATCCAGACCATGGGTTGCTAAATTTGATTTCCATTGATAATTTTTGTGTGATTTTGTTGTCGGCACATTCAACTATGTAATGAACAAAGTATTTAATAAGTATATTTCATTCATTCAGATCTAGGATGTCTTATTTTTGTGTTCCCTTTATTTTTTGAGCAGTGTATATAGTATATTTAGTTTTATATATATATATGTTGACTCAGCCTTCAATTCCTCTGAGGTTGGTAAAATGAGGACCCAGATTGTTGGGGGCAATATGCTGACTCTGTAAACCACTTAGGGAGTTCTGTAAAGCACTGTGAAGCAGTATATAAGTGTAAGTGCTATTGCTATATATATTGTATCAAATTTTGTTTTTGTTTTAATTGAACATCTAATTAATTTCTTAAATATTTTAATTTAATTATGCTTGTGAGAGAGGATGTCAAATATTTATTGATACTTGGTAGTTGAAGATTAGAAAAAGAAATAACAATACGATATTTTGAATAAGTTTTAATCTTCAACACAGTGCTATGATCTCACAAACTTTTGATTAATTCTTTCCTCAGTTATCTGTGTTATGCTTAAGATACTTCATAAAAATAATGCTAGTTGGAATCAGATTCCCTTATGTTAGTGATGTTTATAGTTTAGGTAGTCTCAGGCTCTAACTTTTTTTTTTTTCTTTGTGAAAAAACTCGTTGCCTAGATATCTGCTAGGCAAGCTTATGAGGAAACTGTAATTAAAGCAATGTTTTGTTTGCAATACAGGCCCTTGATTAAAGTTTTAAAATATTTTTAGAAAATTTCCTTTTTAAAAGTATATCATTCTAAGGTCTTTTTCAATCTTGCAGATATTTTTAAAAAAATTTGACTCCAAAATATTTTGCTAGAAAAAGAGTGGATAAGGGACGGGTCTAAGTATCACAGGATATTAAAAACAGTGAAATCTGGCTATATCTATGACCAGACTGAATTATTTATTTCTTTTGGAAAATGGAAGAATTACTGTTTATCATAGTAGCTATTTATCGTAGTCACATTTATAGTGTTGGGTTTTTAAAAAAACATTTAAAACATTAAAGAGGGAAAAGTGAAAAGATGACAAGACAATGACTGACTCTTTCATGTAACGTATGTATATGGCATCTTAACAATTGAAAATAATTTTGAACAATATGTTGCCAAGATGAAAAAAATATAATAGTAAAACTAAAACATTCAGTGCACAGACATTTTGAGTTGGCAGTATTAATCACATTGAAGAAAGTTTTCTGTAAAATAATGTTTAATGTTGTTGCAGATGGCTGAAATACAGAAAAGAAGGGCATCTTTAGAAAATGAAGCAAAATCTATCCACTGTCAAGTAGCTGAGGTAATTTAACTTGATGTTTGTACGGGCAAATAGGTATGCTTCAAAACAGTGTACTTGACAATGCTCTTTTTTTCCTCTAAAAAGTGATGAGGCTGATTGAGGAGCCAGTAGCATCCTTAGAAATAAAGCTGATTATGGATGTTGATATTTGGCAACTTGTTAATTTCCTATTTAACTTAAAAGAGTTTTTTAATGTAAAAGATCAGACAGGAAAGCTGAGCTTGATATGCACAAAAATGGCTTATTTTATCTCCCTGGCATTGCCTGGATCCAAGGTTTTAATAGTCATAAATAGATTAAGTCTCCTTAGTACTACTGGAGTTAGTTTTTTTGGTTTTGACAGTAATTGGGTACTTTGGGGGGGAAATTAGAATGCTTTATTTATGTTCTGATATGTTGTCCAGTACTTCAGATAAATCTGACCAAGATCGTCCTATTGTTTTTCAAAGCTTCTTACCTCATTTTCAGAACCAAACCCATTGTTTAATCCTGTGTCATGAAAATATAGTGTTGTACAATATTCCTTTGCTTGAAAAAAATATTTGGGTATATTCCTTAGTAGTGTAGCCTAATAGGTGTTCCAGTAAGGAAGGCAAGAGCTATATTAGCACTACTTTGGAATCTTTCTATTATTTTTCTCCCAGTATTTCTGGGGATTCATGTGGAAAGTACTGTTTAAGTACTGTCAAAAGCAATCAGACAAGTAACTGTTTATGACTCAGAAGAATTGCATTTTCTGTGGCTGACTTTTCAAGACCACTGCCAATATGACACATTGCATTCTATATATATATATATATATTTATTGATTTAAGGAAGGTACTTCAAAACTGTTAAATAAATAAATCGATGCATGCAGCTTTATATGGTCTCCATGTCATTTAGGCCAAAACCACATTAAAAGTATATGAAATTAACAGAGAGAGATTGAAAACATCATTGCAAGATGCAATAGAGGAAAACAGACATCTTCATGAAAGTGAAAAACAAGTATGTACTTTTCACTGACTCTATACATACTTAGACTTTTATTCTTTAAACTGTTAAATACTATAAGAAAAAGAAGAAATTCATCCAAAGAAAGAAGGTTTCGCAGAGCTGCTGCTTTTATAAGTAATTAAATTTTGAGACTTTGCTTTTTACAAGATAAATTTATTTAGTACTGATGAAAAAAGCCCTTTGTGAAACCATTTATAACCCATCTAGTGATTACTGGGACAGTTGAAAATGGAAAGATCATGTGTAGAAAAGGTAGTGGGCAACATAACATCTCTAAGCTCCTAACTCAGCCTTTACTATTCAGTTTGTTTTTTGTTTGATTTGTATTACATTTCTTTGATATAATATAGTGATTTTTCAAACACCCCTCTCTAGTTATTACAAGAAGCTGAAGGATGGAACGAACGATTTAATGAACTAAATGAGCAGATAAAAATGTATGAATCATCTCAAGCAAATCTAGAGGAAGCTCTTAAAAATAAAGAAAGTCAAGTCAAGGTACAGTACACATATTTTTAATTTTTTAGCATTGAGTGGTCTAGCAAAGAAAATTATAGATTGTTCTCAGAAGAATTATTCAACAGATTTTAAGGTAAATGCAAGTGGCTCTTTCATAAATCAAATAAACCATTGCTAGTTAGAGATTTGTGATGCCTCATAAGGAGAAAATGTTTTCATGTTCTGGCTTCTGTTTTAAAATCTTCATTGGATGGAAATTGAAATTTGCCTCCCATTCTGTAAATTCATTTTTGCTAATGTTTACAGGGTCCTGACTTGCCACAATAGTGCCTAAAAACTTTTTTTCTCTCTTGGAAGAAATTGTCAAATGAAGATACCCATAAAATGTAATTTTGAGTATGAAATGTATTATCTTGATATTTGTTTAATATAGAGCCCGAGATTCATTCATTTTCTTTCTCACCCGCTCTCTTTCTATTCTAAAATGCTACTTAGTCTCTGACAGACTGCTTGCTAAGAATGAAAGACTGGAGCTGTGCAACAGGAGAACATGATTCTATGGGTGACAACCACAAGGAAAATGATATAAAGAATGAAACAGAAAACAAGCAGCACTTTGGTAAAAATATTTTCAGATTTCAGATAGGAAACTTTCATTATAACTTTCATCAACTGTCATTATAAACTTTGTCTTCAAAAAGAAATAAATTATAATGCATGCTTGTAGAGAATAGCCTATTTCATTCAAGGCATAATATTTTTTCTTCAAAAGCTTTATATTAGTATATTCTGGATTTGTCATGGTGGCATGTTAAGATCAGAATCATTTTTCTCAACCTAACGTGCCCATGTAAAGGCACATTAACATGTTAAGGGAGAGGACAAAAAGAATATTTGTAGTGCTAGTATTATTTTCATAAATTCAAGATTATTTCTCAGAGTTTTACTTTTTCTCTTGATTTCTTTATAACTAGATGTTCCAGAAAAAGAAACAGTAAAGAAGCTAATTTATGCTGCGAAGGTAATTGGGTAATACTGTGAAGATTTTAACTATTCTAAAATCTAAAGATTAGCGTGTAAAAATAGTTATTCGGACCATGAGAAAATACTTTATAAATTGAAGGTCAGAATGTTAATGAAATAAGCAATTTTTAAAGCAATTTTTTGAAGTCACTTAAACTTTCTGGATTGATTCCAGAATTACAGAAGCTATTTGCTAAAGGAATTGATAACAGTTACATCTCCATTGAGCAGAGGAGCTAAGAAGAAAATTTCCCTCACTCGAGATCCTTGAAAAGATGTTCTTAAGACTTGGGAATTTCGATTACAACTAGGAAGGGCACTACAACTGTAGGTTACCTAATATAGTAGACATTCCGAATTCCTAAGACCATCTTTTCAAGAACCTTTGGGAGGAGCTATAATTGTCAACATTGTTCTCCATTCTCCTTCATCAAGAACATAACAGGCTTGTATATTTAGAAACAAAACTATACATTGATCACATTTCATTGGAGAATGTTCCCTGCATTTGTAAATTACAGTACAGACAGAAAATAAACTGGAATTAATATGATATTTGTTATAGCGGTGCAAATGTATTCTTTACTAGCTGTAATGATCTTACCTAGTTTATCTTCCTTCATTGTATAGGTAAATGCTCAATTAAAATCTGTGGAAACAGAAAGGAATCAAATATATTCAAAATTAGCTGATGAAAAGAAAGCAAAAGAGGAACTTGCAGGTACAGTAATCACTTTTTTTTCATAGATTTTCAAATGAGCAAGAAAGAAAGCTGATACGGTATTTTTAAAATTAAGGTTTTTGAAAGTAATACTTTAGAAAAAATAATTCAATTCTTAGTTATCCCCTCTTCCCCTAAATCTGCTTATGCATGCACTGAGACTATGCATACAGGGAAAATTGCAGATGAAAAGTAAGTATGACTGGGCATTAGAGGTTGGATTTAGTTTTTTATAAAGCAGTTTTATTTAGATAATTAGGAATCTTTTAAATGAGAGTTATTCCCTCATGTAAGATATTTTAAACAAGTTCTCAGTTCTCATAAGATGAAAGAATCTAAGTTTTTAATGGGTTTTTTTTAACAGTATCCCACACTGATTCTTTAGGAAAGTGTTGTCATCTGCTCTAACTTTAGTGAAGGTTTTTCCAGGTTGTTGTCTGGTTTGTGTTTCCTTTTTGTCTTTTTTGTTGTCATCTCCAAAATCTTAATGGTAATGTTAGAATTGAAAAACTGAAATCATGAATAACATTTTATTTTTATATGGGAGTGAATCTGTAAACACTGAAGCTAATAAAAGATGGAATAAAACATTAAGGCAGAAAAATAGGTTTTTTTTCCTGTTTGTTCTCTTCTTAAAATCAATAAGCAGTAGTTGAATCTTCTTACAGATAGAGTATCAACCAGAGTAGGAAAAAATATTCTAATGGCTTTTGTCTTTACAGACTGATGGACAGTGGCTAGCAGTGAATGCTTTAGAGCTATGACCTATATATGACCTGAACTTTCATCTAAATCATCTTAATAGATAAAGGATTTCTCACTAACAACACACTAAAGAGCATTCTGTGCTGTGTTTTTATTGAACACATTGAACCAGCATTCACTGTCTTTGTTAGAAAAAGAATATGAAGACTGAGATTTAATAATTGGTGATATATCTTTAATAGCAATAGCTCTTCCATCAGACATTTTCTGTGACTGTTTGATCAATCCTGCAGATAAGCTTGCAGGTATTTGGCCCATTTCAACTATTTGAACATTAATATGTCACTGATTAACAGCTTTGTTTCCAACAGCAAAACTCAGTCCTCATTTATATGTGGAACTAAATTATTTTTTGCATTTTTGTAGTAGTACAAGTCATTTTTCAGCTATTAATACTAATATTATTATATTAATACTAATATTCAGAGTTCCTTTAAAAAGCTATAGCAATATGTACAATATTGTGAACTAACAATAAAGCAGAATAAAATATTTCTAATCAAATTAAACCACTTGTTTTCAGAACGAGTACATTAAATTTCTGAGTTGCAGTTTTATGGTTCCAATATTTGCTTATTTGTACTTATTTCTTTATGTCAGAACGGATTGAAAGACTACAAAGGGAACATGTCAATTTGAAGTCAGAAAATATAGGAGTTCAAAATGAAATTCAAAAGCTTCAGCAAAAGCTTAAAGTCATGACAGAACTGTACCAAGAAAATGAAATGAATCTTCACAGGTATTACTGGTATTGGATTTATTGGTTAATCAATGACTCATTAATTTGTTACAGAATGTTATTTCTCTGTAATTAAATGTTTTCAATTTGTAGAACAATATATAAACTAAATTTGCCAAATTATTTTACTAGTTTACTCTCTTGTGCCAGTACTGAATAGATTAATATTATTAAATCCAGCTCTACAGGAGTTATTCAGTTACTCTAAATCCTACAGGGTACCTTAAAGGAAGTAATTTTACAATATTTATTTACTATGTTTTTTGGTTTATTGGAAATCATTTAAATACAAAATACTTTGGGACCAGTATGATCAATCAATGTCATACAAAAAACTGAATGTTGCTTTGAATTCTTTAAAAAAGCCTACCTGAAAGTTATTTCACTGTGTAGCCTGAATATATAAGAGCTTAGATACAGAAATTAGATACTTTTTATGTCCAATTCTGCCAACCACTTAAAGAACATAGAGACACTAAATAGTGAAAGTTTTAGTTTCACTCCCCATCATCATTTTGTTTATACACATAAACACACCACATCGTACAAGGTTCTGCATTAAAACTTTTCATCGTAAAATCATGCATCGTTCAAAAACTCTGCCCAAGTTCTTTTACTGCTCAATTCTATATTTTTTTATTTGGAAATTCTACAATATTTCTATAGACTAAATTCTATAATAAGTGCAAGTGATTTGCAGTTTTCATATGAAAACTAAAAAACAATAGTTATACTAATGTAATATTTATTTTTAAAAAGGAAATTAACTGTAGAAGAAAAAGAACGTTTACAGAAAGAAGAAAAACTTTCCAAAGTCGATGAGAAAATGAATCATGCTGCTGAAGAACTGCATACTTACCGGTAATTTCACCAAGTATTATATTAAACAATTCCAAATTTTTGAAAAAGAAATCGAGATTAATTGGAAGAGTACTAATCTACCATTGTACTAGTAGCGTTTTATGTCAGAGGAAAGTAGCAAATGGAAAGGGAGGCCCCACTCATGCAAGGAGAACTCCCATCTCCATGTTGTGTATATTGTCCGGATGTTGTGCATGTTGTAGTTATTTATGGTACATTCCCCACTAGTCTGGGGGACCATGGAATCCTAAGACACAGCTGGGAAAGATGCAAGATATTGCAATCAGAAGACAGCCAGAAAAACCCTGTTGGGTAATAAGAGTTCCCTTCATCCTTTGTTAGATTTAATTCAGAACCTTTCTGGAAGAGGACAAGGGATTTAGATAGCTGATGATTACTAAGAAATACGTTAGACAAATTATTTATTAGCCCTTTTTAAAATTACAAATACTAGCAAGCTTATTTATTTTCAGCAGAGGAGATAATTCTGCTAAAAGTTCATTCTTTCCACTTGATCCATAAATAGGAGCATGTCATTCAACGTAACTTCAGTTAAAAATACTTCCATTCACAATGCGTCCTGTCATTTTTAGGCACAACTGAGTTTTGTAAGCAAAGAAATTACAACAGGGAGGTTCTGATATGTTTGGTAGATAGAGATGTCTGATTGGTCTCCTTTTTCAATTGCCTTGTCAACTTCATCTGTTTTTTTAAAAATAAAACCAATTTACTTAATGGCTATAAATTATTTAATAAAATTTTGCAACAATAATAACAGTTTCTCCTAATACTATTGTATAGGCATCGGGTAAAAGATCTTGAAGAAGAACTGGAAAGAACTGTTTGCTCTTATGAGAAACAAGTATGTATTTTCTTAATTGAAAATTTTCTTTTACCTCATATAACATGGCTTCAGTGTATTGGCCTCTTTGAGGAAAAAAGTTGTTGTTTGAAATCACTTTTCAGTGCTGTTCTACATTATTTCAGTTGGAATTTTCTTTGATTCATATCCATCCTTTCATTCAGGAGCTCATATCCATTTAACCATATTTAAAACTTCAGAACTTTTTGTTTAACTAAAGCTATTATGTTAACTACAACAGAAAAGAAGGCTGAATCTCAAATGTACATGAAAGCAATGATATGACTTCTATTGAATTCTTTCAATAAAATTTGTTGTCTGGTAAATATACAGAGAAGAGTGGTTTTAAATGTTTTTGGTTTAGCTGCAGAGCTTTGTTGAAGCAATATCTTATTGTAGCTTTACTACTTATGTTCTATAGTTTAAAGTACTTAAAAGTATTATGTTCCATATTTGATTTCTGTTGAAAAGAACACAAAATGTTGCTCAGTTTGATTTTACTTCTAAATTAATGTATAGTTTTGTTTTAATAGATTAACTCACATGAGAAAAAAGCTCATGATAATTGGGTAAGTTAAAGCACTATTTTACTGTCCATTTGAAAAAAAATTACAACATTGGTGTAGGGTGTTTTCAATAAGGTTACATCTATGTTCATCTTAAGTTTTTTTTATCAGACATGATTGCACTTTGGGGCTATAGATGTTTCAAAATGGCCTGTTCCTTTACATTTTATATTAAATTTTATTTAATATAATTTACAAACTGTAAATCTGTTGGTTTTATTTGAGAATAACCCAGCACATTTTCAAATAATTGAGCAGGATTCATAATATAGGAAAAACGTCTTTATCTACAAAATACAAAAACATGATACAAACAATACCCAGACATCTCTTGCAATGTGGTAGAGAGAGAAATGAACTCTGAACACAAAATAGCTAAACCACACCCAGACTAAAGCCGGCTCACATGGCTCTCACAGCAAGTCCTTGGGTCTCAGTCAAAAAACAGTTCCCATTGGCTGGCTTGTTGCCATGGCTATTCCAGTTCATAAATTCTTTATACACTGACACAATCTATCTCACCGAGGAGAGCATTCTTTTTCCCTCTTAATGTTTTTTTTTATTATTATTATTTCTTAATGCTTGGCTGTACTTTTGTAAAAAGGCTTAGCCATATTTCCTATAGCACATCAGAAGGAAAACTAAAGATAGAGCAAAAAATAGAATAGTCACCAAAGCTTTCAAAAGTTCTGCAGAACTGCCACCCATACAGTTAAATGCATATCTTCCCAGTTTTTAGAAAATAAATCAAAAGTGCAATCTTAAAATCATTTTCTGTCTGTGGATGCTATGTACATTCTTTTCTGAATTGTGACTTTCATAATTTATTTTCTTTAAGTACCAATAGTCCCTATTTGTTAAAAAAAGATTCCTTAAGCGAATTGTCCTTACTATTGTAATAGATTAAGGTTTTGCTAAAATGGTAATTCTTTCCAAAACCAAATGCATATGTAGGTGCTAAACTGTTACTTAGTAGTGCCCAGGATGGAATTAGTACAATGATATGATTGTCTTGCCAAGAATCCAATGCACTGATCCAGACATAAAAATAATAATATCCAAAGATAAGTACCCATGATAATATCTGTGCATACCAGTTGCCTTACTTAATGCAGGAGTTCGATGAAGATGAATGGAGAAATTCTTAAACATAATTAACAATGAAGAAGCAGCAGACTGTTTGATTCACACCTAATGCTAAAAGTATTTGGACATTTAGAGTGCACCGGTACCTATAAAGCTTTAGAATGTGGACTTTTCTGGTTTACAGTTAACCTAAACACATTGGATTTGCATGCTTTATCTGATTATTGTTTAAAGTAATGCATAGACCTTAAAGGGAATTAGATTTTAAGTAAAATTATTACATACTTGATTTTCAAAATGTTTATTGAACTTTCAAAAATTATAGCACATTTATTTATTTAGAAAAAATTCTGATATTTGCTATATATTTGAAGTTGACAGCCCGGGCAGCTGAAAGACAACTGAATGACATGAGAAAGGAAAATCAACACAGAAGACAAAAGTAAGTATAAAGATGTTCATGTTTAGAAAACATGAAAAAAGTTTTAGCATTAGTTCTAAACATAAGTTATGTTGGGTTAATGTTTAGCCCTGTCCTGGTCCTCTGTGATCTCTCAGTGGCTTGATTTTATCAGTCATGGTATCTTCCTGGACAGCTTCAGATGTTGGTAAAAGGGCCATGGTGTTCCATTTGACATTGATAGGAAGGAGTATAGGCTTAAGTTCCTGGTTTGCAGTGATACTCAGAGTTTTTCCCTCTCCACCACTATTTACATAAAGCCACTGAATGAGGTCATCAATTGGAGCAGAGTAAAGTATCATCAATATGTATCATAATATTGAGTTTTGTATCTGTGCTCAGGGCTAACCAAGTGATGCTGTCAAGGTTTGTTCTTCATGTCTGGAGAATGAAGTGGTGTGAATGGGAAAGCACAGGTTTTGGCTAAACCCAAGCAACTCAGAATGATTGTGAAGGACCCTCTCCCTTTCGGAAAACTGACCATCTTTAGTTCTGTATGGAGTTACACTCCTTCAGAAACAACTGCTGTGCATTTTGGAGGTTGCCTTGAATTAGTGGAGGTAGATGTAGCTGTGATGAAGCAGGCCTTTGGACAAATTCATATTGTATATCAGTTGCACTTGATTCTTGATCAGGAAGCCCTGGTCACAGTCCACTCATGCTTTGGTCACATCACACTTGGACTATTGCAGAAACTAGAAACTAGAATTAATCAGTAATGTAATGGTATATAGCAACACTACTACATGAGCTAAACTGGTTTCCTGCAGGCTTCTGGGTAGACTTAAGATCATTTCATAGAACAGTGCTATCTAATGGTACTTGCTCTGTCATGATTTCCTACCTTTCAGAACAGCACGTTCTATGATATGTGGATGGCTCTGGTCTTCTGTAAGACTTCAAAAATGTATTTTTCCTTTTGTTCCCCCGCCCTCCGCAAAATACTGGGTTAGTACAATGAATGAGCCTGCTGGAAAATGGATTTGAGATTTTGGATATGTTGAGTGCTTTGGTTTGTGCTATTTTATATTTTGTTGTTTTATGTTCATAGTTTATTTTGTTTAGTTTTTAGTCCTAAATTAGCCTCTCAAAATCATTTTGCAAGTTGGGAAGCCATCCAAAACATATGTATGTATAAATCATTGAATCAGCCAATGCCCGTGAGCTATCTGATTAACTGATTTTTACTTTGCAGTAGAAAAATTAAATGGTCCAAGCAGTCATAGCTTTTTGTTCTTTTCTTTAGTTTGACAGAAATAGAACTTAAATACAACTTTTTGAAAAAAGATCCTTATGCTTATGATGATACAGCCACAGCATTTGGCAGAGGTATGGCATTTTATTTAATTTCCAGTGTAATTCCTTAATTGTTGAATAAATGTACCAAGCTACCAATTCAAATTAATTAGCATTTACATTTCATTTAATTACAATACCTAATTTTTCCCCCAGTGATTCCTAAATCAAACCTGCATAATTCCTTAAATGATTAGCAAAAACTGAGCTGTGTAATTGCAGGGCTAATAAGAAAAGTCAATCAGTTGACTTTATTATGTTCCAATTTAAACTTCAAATCTGAGCTGATCAATAATTGTTGTTCTATACACCCATTAACATTAACTTTGTGAATGTTAGTATTTTGTTTTAACTGTTCCAGAGCAGTCCCTATATGGACCCTCACCAATGGGCAGACCTTCATCAGAAACAAGAGCTTTTCTTTCCCCCCCAACCTTATTGGAGGGTCCCTTAAGACTTTCACCTGTGCTTCCAGGTGGAGGAGGAAGAGGTACACTTCTTAAATTTGAAAACTTAATGATTCTGGATTCTCTCTCCTCTTAGTCTATCCCTCCTTTCTTGGTAATAGTTCTTTTCAGATAAATTTGTATTATCTATATAAATGGTCTCTAGCATGGAGCTGAGAGCAGTAATTCCATATGTCCAACTTTCTGTATTACATATTTTTATGGAAAACCTGCAGAGAGAAGGCAGGAGCCTTCATGAAAGCCATTTTTACGCTTGTTCCTGACTGAAACATTTTGTAAATCTTTGATCCACCAGTACTGTGAATCCATTTGCATAAAGATTAGTTTTGAAATTAATTTACTTTTATAAAGTCCTAAACCAGGGGTGTCCAACCTTGGCAACTTTAAGGCTTGTGGGCTTCAGCTCCCAGAATTCCTCAGCCAGCTTTGCTGGCTGAGGAATTCTGGGAGTTGAAGTCCACAAGCCTTAAAGTTGCCAAGGTTGGACACCCCTGTCCTAAACCAATACTGCTTAATCATTAATTAATAAAAAATGGACCAAATGGTAGTCTTTAAAACTAAAATAAGTGAGATGAAAGGAAAAGCAGGCATCATTCTCCTTACGTTACAATAAAATACTGTATGGGTTTTGCCATCTTAGATAGTTGATTGTGGCCTAAAGCTGGCTTTAAAGCTATTATACTTTATTCCAAAACTGCCAGCATAAGACAGTCTGGAATGAACAAATATAATGAAGTAGCTAAGAGATCAACACATACCATGGTTTGAGAATCAGAATAAGATACTCAAACTGTTTGTCTGCTTTTGAACTATAATTAATTAAAAATGAAAAGGTTGAATATAGTTTCAGTTTCTTTTTCCCACCTGTTCAAAACACTTATTTCTAATTTATCCTTCTAAAATAAGAAAAAACTCTTTCAATCTCTTTAAAAGATGTGATGGGTTTCTTGGAGGAGGTTGGGTTTGGGACAGAATTGGGCTCTGAGAGCAATGTTTGTTTGAAAATACGTAGTGATAAAGTTGATGAAAAGACTTCCTTCCTTCCTTCCTTCCTTTACTTTGTAAGACAAATCTTAGTATAATGTGGATTTTGTTTCAGGGTGATGGTGGTGGTTTTCAAAGTAACAGCCTGACATGACTAAACAATTGCACGCCTAAGGCAGAGAATACTAAGGAAATTTTCAGCTTTTGCAGACAAGACAAAACACAATAATAGTTTATTTTAAATTGGAGAATTGGAAGAAGTGTAAGCACAGGCATCTCCTCCCTTAATCTTACCTACACTCCTACTGCATATTGATACAAGTTCTTGCATATTTCCTGTTCATATATAAGCTTAGAGTCAATAGAACAATACAAACATAGGCAATTATAGAAGCAGTGGCAAAGAAAAACACCCTAATGAACTTTATTGATCAAAAGTTTGAGGGTTTAACAGCAATCAAGAACAGTGCCAGATTCAAAGATTCACAGTATTTTTAGAGTTCTAGGCAGTTAACAAAAGTCTTAAGAATTATAAACAGACAGATGTTTCAACAATGCATGTTTATGGTCAGATAAAAGTTTTATCTGAGAGCCAGCTTGGGTAGTGGTTAAGGCATCAGGCTAGAAACTGTGTTCTAGTCCCAATTTAGACACAACGTTCCTTGGGTGACCTTGGGTGAGTCATTTTTTTTCTCTAGCCCTAAGGGGCCAAAAAAGCAAACCACTTCTGAAAAACCTTGCCAAGAAAACTGAAGTGGCTTATTTAGGCAATCTCAAAGAACTGGCCATTATTGATGAAATTTAAAAAAAAACCAGCTGTCTTACTTGAGCTCTGTTTGAATCTCTTCTGAAGTCTGAATCTCTTCTGTCCTGAGGGAAAGATCCTGAGGATGTATTACAGTAACAGAGGAAAAGGAAGGAGGAAAAAGTAAAGGAAAAGTAAAGGAAGAAAATATGAAGTAAAAAGTAAAGTAAAATATGAATATGATTTTCCTTTTCTAAAATCTAAGATGACCATGAGTAAAGCAAGGGCAAATTAGAAAAGTCTTTACTTCTTAAAGCTGCATTGACATTGTATAACAGAAAAGATACAGGAATATAACATTTCAGTTATAATATTGAAACCAAATAATACTAAAAGAAGAGGTTTGTTAGAGCCATTTACAGACTGCCTTACAGTTAAAGTACACAATATATAAAATATACATCGCTCTACTTTTTAAAACATTTTCTCTTGACTAGTGTTCACTGGCCCAATCCGGATCAGAATGTGTGTAGAAGTGGAAATGCATACCCTTTTTAAAAATTGTATGAAGAGTTCTTTAACGTTTGATGCCAATAACATATGTGAATTTTCTAATTTCAGAGGTTTTACTGCTCTAGATTGGGCCAGTGGGTGTTTGCAGTGGATATAGAAAGTGTCAACCATCCCACTGGCATGTACAGCAAAAGAAACACCTGGGAGTAAAAGTTTACTGACAGTTCCATATAGGCATAGAAGAAGCAAAGCCAGTTCTAAGGTGTTGACGCAAAACACAGCATAGTAAAACCTCCTTTTCTTTCCTAGGCCACCCAGTGTCCACTGTCCACCAATCCAGGTTAAGCATTTTATTTTGGGAAAACAGACTGCAGCTTTCAAAAGTCTTCGGTGTTTGACTTTGGGCTTGTGAGATTTTCTCAAGCTGCAAATCGCTCATGTAAATTCCTTTTCTCCCTTCCAGCTTTCCACACATTCCAATCATATCCATGCCCCCTTCCCTTAGCTTCTTTGCAAAGTTACCACCGGAAAGAAGTGCCTTGCGAGTTTACACACCCATTAAATTGCCAATTTTTTTGAGATGTAAAAAAAAAATAGACTCAGATCAATCCGTTCAGAATTTTTCCACCTTTAACATATAAACTGTATAATTCAATTGAAAAACAAACTGAATTTTTTAGGAAAAAAATACAAAATGTACAACAATGTGATTGCATAAATGAGCATACTCTTAAACTAATACGTCGTTGAAGCATCTTTTGATTTTCTGATAGTATCCAGTCTTTGGGGGGTGGGAGCTTTGGGGCTATCAGCATTGGCACACCTTGCTTTTGGAATCTTTGCCCACTGTGCCTTGCAAAAGCACCCCCAAATCTGTCAGATTGCGAGGGCATCTCCTATTCACAGCCCTCTCCAGGTGACCCCACAGATTTTCAAAGGGATTCAGGTTTGGGCTGTGGCTGGGCCATTCCAAAACTTTGATCTTCTCCTGATGAAGACATTCTTTTGTTGATTTGGAGGTATGCTGTGGGTTGTTGTGTTGAAATGTGAAATTCCTCTTCAGCATTGTAGCAGAGGCCTGATATTTGGAACTGTTTATAATTCTCTCCACCTTGATTAAAGCCCCAATTCTAGCTGAGGAAAACAGTCCCAAAGCATAATGCTGCCACTACGATGCTTCACTGTTGGTTTGATGTACTTTTAGTAATGCGCAATGTCATTTTTGCACCAACAATACTTTTTGGAATCATGGTCAAAAAGTTCAACCTTAGTCTCATAAGACCATAACACATTATTTCTACATGCCTTTATCAGACTTGATGTAGGTTTTTGTGAAATGTATTTTGTGAAAAATAATTTGGGTGATTTTCTTTTTAAGAAAAGGCTTTCATGTTGCCACAGTACATCACAGCCCAGACATATGAAGAATATTGGAGATTGTTGTCACATGTAGTATACAATCAATACCTGCCAGAAATACCTGTAGCTTTTTTAAAGTTAGCAGCCTCCCAGTCCAGTTTTCTTCTTGGTTGTTTTTTCCCCATAAATTTTGGAGGGATATACACTTCTTGGTAATATCACTGTTTTTCTCTACTTGTTGATTATCATCACTATGTTTCATGGAAAATTTGTTTGTACCCTTCTGACGGATACCTTCCAGCATTGAAATCCCTTTGATACTTTGTAAGCTCTTTGCAGATCATGGCTTTTGATTTAAGAGGCAACTGAGTAAATATCAAAAAAATCCTACCAAAACAGCTGAACTTTATATGGGTTTGATCAGTCACTTCAATTGATGGCAGATGTGTACTGACTATTTACCATCGGTTTGAGTGTCATTGGTTCATTCTAAATATAACCACATCCCTACTTATGAGATGGTATATTTATGCAACCATGCTATTGTACTTTTTATTGTTATTTCCCTCTTAAAAGATTTATGTTTCTTTTTCAATTGAATTATAGAGCTTATATGTTATATTAAAGGTCGAACAAATTCTGAACAGATTTTTCTTGGTCTGATATTTTTACATCTCAAAAACCTGGCATTTTAACTAGATTTTCTATATCCACTGTACATCTCGGAGAATTCAAGCTGCATGATACAAATTTTACATAAATATATTATGAGCCAGCTTAAATACCACAACACATTATGTTTTGTTATCCTATTTGTAACTTTAGTGAGATTTTACTTGTGTATTTTAGTAAAATTTATCTTTTTACCTAAACTTGATAAATGAGTAATTTTTATGATAAATATGAGACAACAGACTTACATCAGGGGTGGGATGCTACTGGTTCTGCCCGACTCTGTAGAATCGGTAGCTCTGAAGAGCAGCAGACACCAAACCTGTTCTGTGTCTGCTGCTGTTTGGCCCACCCGCCCACCTGGGCTCTTTCCTGACCTTTATTTCCTGCTTTTTCAACCTCAGCTGCTTTACATGGCACAGCTGAGGCTGAAAAATCAGTAAAAAAGGCTTTTTTCAAATGCTGCACACCTGCGTGCAGTGCTTATCAGATGTCTGGGAGGCACAGCGCGCACTGCGAGCAAAACATAAGTACCGAACCAGTAGTAACATCGGTTTAATCCCACCCCTGACTTAAATGTTTTGAAATGGACATAATATTTATGGACACCATTAATGGACATGGTATTTACTGGTTCAGTTAAGACTATTAGATATTGAGCTAATTGGATCCATGGTAATTTTTTTGATTAGGTTCAAGAGGCCTGGGGAATCCTGGCATAACTGAAGTTGGTAATGAAAGAGGAGAGCTGAACACCAGTAGGTTATCTGATCCACACAGGCCACCTTCTGACACTGGATCTTTGTCACCTCCATGGGATAGAGATCACAGAGTAATCCTCCCTCACCCAGGTAAAAAAAACATGATCTGCCATTCTTTGCTAAATTCAGAAATGAAACTACATTGAAATATTACTGAGATCTACTTTGAAATGGATCTTTGATTTGGTTTCAGTGGATGAATATGTACGAATCATTTGAAGGTAGTATACTCTAAACATTGTTTTTTCCTCAGAATGAATATTTATTGATTTAGATCCCACTTTATTAGTTTTATAAATAATTCAAGGTGGAGAACATACCTAATACATCCCTTTTTTACAGAATTAGCTGATTTAAACATTTTAAGGGGTATATTTTTGGTTCATTTAATCCAAAACTTATATTAGAACCCTAGAACCATTTCCAGATTACATATTTCTGAAAATATACTGTATAAACTACCTTCATAGTACTGATATTCATCTAGCCCATTTTTTAAAAATGGGATGTCCCAGGAATTCCTCAGACTAGTATAGTTGAATCATTTTTCTAGCATCATGTTACATATTAATTTTCCAGTGAAGATATGTTTACAGAGAGAAATCCAAAATTGAACTGGAGAGGAATTTCCTGACCATGAGAGTTATTAAACAGCCTGCTTACTGGAGTTATTGGGGCTCCATTAAAAGACTCTTTCAAACAATAGCTGGATAGCAATTTTTTGTGAGACGGCATAGGCAAGCGGTATGGATTAGAGGACCTCAATTTTCCCTTTCAATCTTATGATTTTATCATTCTATATTAAGTAAGTAATAAGTATTGGATTCCATTAACATTTTCTGGAAGCACGTGCCTCTTACCCATTATAGTTTAACTTGTAAGTACTGTTGCATAAGGAATGTGAAATAAAATAAGCTGTAGGCATTGTTCAGGAATTCTTCTGAAAAAGCTTAATTTTTTTATTAAATAATAGGTCACCTCTATAATGAGCAATCTCTTCCTCCTCGAAGACCAGAAAGATTTTATCCCCATCCTGTAAACTCTGGAAGGCTTTCAGGACCAGCTGAACTAAGAAGTTATAACATGCATTCAGTTGATAAAACAGGTTGGAATTGTAGTGTTTTAAATACTCGAATTTGAAAGTAATTCTTTAGAACCTAGACAAATGCACATTTTGAGGCTTTGGTTCTTCTTCTTAGTAAGATAATCTAAGAATGTTAGTAAGACATCGAGGAATGTTAGTAATACTGTAGGTGTGGTATGTGTTCTGTGCCCTCTGCAGTCCAGCTGTTTCCGATTTCTCACATAGAAAGCAGCAGTGCCAGAAGTTAGGAAACAAGTGAATCTACTTTAAACACTCATCAGATGTGGAAAATAGCTGTGTTGTGAGAATAGGAAATAATGTATCCAACAAATCTTTCTCCCATGCTGCCCCATAACAGCCTTTTCAGCAACCTTGACTGTTCCCTCAGACTGAGTATGTTGCATGGGATGCATAGGACTTTGCATGAAATCAGGTAGAAGAACATAAACAGAATTGAGGCTGAGGGGAAGTTTACTTAGAAAGGAAATATGGAAAAAACAAATGTTTTAAAAACTAAATACAGCCCAATACACTTAACATAATTTCATACTAAATATATATTTAAGACATTTAATCCAACACTAGTAAACATTAGTTATTCAGACTTAGGAACAAATCATAATAAATGATTTCATTTTCTGTAGCTAGCATATTTAAGCAGCATTCTTGATTCTTGCACACTAGCCATACAAGTGTGAAAAAGGAAAGTCTTAAATGTTCTGTGCAGGAATGTTAACATTTATTTATTTTGTATCTATATGGGGTGGTTCATTTTTTTTTAATGCAGAGAAGCATTCATGTTTCTCATTTTGCATTTGTGTTAAATGTGTGAAAACATTGCATTTGACATTGTATCTTGTCTCTATAGCCATCTGGAAGGAATATGTTTGTGAGTCTGCTTAAGGTTAAATATGTATTCCTTTCTTTCACATCCAGATGGACCATCATCTGAAAATAACTTAAGAATGGACTTGAGTAGAGATGAATTAAGAGATCATTCAAATGACAGTGTAAGTAAAACACAGAAAAACTGAGAAAAAAAATTAAATTTGAAAATTGCAGTGCTGGAACTATTTTTGTATAATTTGTATTTTGTATTTATTTTCATTTATATGAATGCTTCCATATTCTGACACTGAATAAATGTTAGTTCAAATAGCGCTTCTATAACTGAATAATTTTATAACTGAAAAAGCAAAAGGAAAGAAAAAACATGAAGTAAAAATAGTTCTTTGATGAGGACTGGGTTGCATTTCCTATAAAGAAAAGGGCTTAGATTCCATCCTTATTTGGTAGTTGTGCTCTCAGAAGAGAAAAGGCAATTTTTTGCTGTTTGTCCCTTTTGAATCAGGGAAAACTGTTCTTGATTGAGGGTACAGATGCAGGGATGGCTTGGGGGCCCAGAGGAAAAGGTGGCTGAATGAAAATCCCACCCTTCACTTAACCCAGAAGTTTTCACTGTACTCTCTCGTTTGTGACCCACTCCATTGTATCTTATTTTAATTAATGTTTTCTCAGTTGAAGCTTATGAATGCATTGTTTTTGGTTTGTGTCTCTGGTTTGGATTCCATTTCTACTCTAGTCTGCTTTCAAAAAGCACATGTAAATGACAGGTGCGTTTCAAAGTTAACTTGCCTACATTTCTTTTTTTACAGAATATGTACCATATACACGATCAGTCTCTTCCTCCTGAAAACGAAACCTTAGGACCAGGAATTGTGCCACCACCACTTCCATTTTTGAGAGGTCCTCTAATGTCAATGGATCCAAGGGGATCTTTCATGAGAAGAGGTCCTCCGTTTCCACCACTACCTCCTAGTTCTGTATATGGTTCACAGGAATATTTTCCAAGGGATTTTGCTGGTTTGCCACATCCTCTATTACCAAGTAAGTAACTAGTTTCTAAATACTAAATAAATTTCTAGTAAAACATTCACAAACCATAATAAATTGAGGCACAGTCCAAGAAGAAATAGATGTATCTGGATCTGATATATCTTTTTCTGTTAGATTTAACAGAACAGTCCAATTTCCTTACTTTTGAGATTTAATACCAGTTAATTTGCCTAATTGCTTCTGATACATGATTTTCTTTCCTAGTTTAAAACTCTTTCCTAAGGCACATTCTTAGATTCTTCGGGAAAGATACCTCCATGTTGTTCCCAGATGCCATGTGCCAGGTCCCTATGCTCTGTCCCAAAGCTGTTTAAGGTGACCCCAGACTATCCAAGAAATGCTATCAAGGTTTCTTCTCCTCCTTGGAGGCTGTGGAGGCCTAGATGGGGGAAAGCCTTGAAGATCTGTTTTTGTTTTGTTACAATGCATTACAAGAGATTTTTGCTAGGAATTTCAGTAATATTATATTGTATTGAATCATACTAATTTGCATTATTTAATGTCTTTGTATTGTTAAAAATCACTTAGAAACAATCATCTTTTAAATCAGATGATGGGTGAGGGGATGGATGGATGGATGGATGGATGGATGGATGGATGGATGGATGGATGGACGGACGGATATGAGAACGGGCAAGTGTAGCAAAATGAATTAAAATACACCTTTGATAAAAGGATCATGAATTCAGACCAAGTTTCAGATTGATGCTTTCTTCATATTCCCTGATTTAATGGGAATTAGAGTTCATTATATTGAGAGAACATCAGTTTGGCAAAAGCAGCTTTGAGAGAGTGAAACATTCAGTTTTAATTTTTCTTTTAATGAGATTTTTTAAAAATGTTGTTTGTTACCAGTTTTGAATTGTATGTACAATATAACTAGCTTTGCTCTACATTCAAACTAAAAAAGATGTTGATAATTCTCTTTGAACAGTGAGAGGTCCATTTCCTATGAGGCCTTTTTCACAATATCCACCTCCTCCAAGGGCTGGCCTTTTCCCTCCTCCCCCTCCACCACCACTATCTGATAACAGAAATGAGGTTTCTGCTGAGTTAACACAGCTGTCAACTGTATCATCTACAGATAATCGAGAATCACAAGAAGAAACTGGTTGAGTGTCATTTTGTTCTTGACAATTCTCTTGACTGAATTATTTCTTCTCAACTGAAGTAACTTGTTACTTAATCCACTCTATTATTGCTCAAATTGAAGCTGAATAGAGTAATTCTCAGGAGAGTGATCTGTAAATACTGGTTTGACTGTGAATAAATTATAACTGTACAGCAGCAACTTTTAAATATTTTTATTTTGCTTATCTAGATGTAAAATTTAGTCCAATAAGAATTCTCTAGCTGTCTTTTGACTACACCTGGTCTCATAAAAAATTAATGCACGTGAAAATGAATATTATGGTGAAATGCAGGTGTTAAAAAATAAAAAGGTTTTAATAATTTGTAAGATTTTGATTATTTAATAAAAGTCAGTGTCCTCTTTTTTAAAATCAATTCTGAAAGTATATTCCATGACAATCCTTATAAAGTTTTGTGTAGTTAGTTCTCAAGTTATGACAGTTTGTTTAGCGACCATTCAAAGTTATGACTTATCTGGAAAAAAAGGGAACTAAGATCCAGTTCCAAAGTTCCCCACTGGGAGGGGTACTTTGGACACTTGACAACACAGCTGCATTTACAGTATTTGCAGCATTCCATGGTCACCTGTTTTACGATGATTTTGCCAAAAACTGAAGGATTTTCAGAAACATCAACACCATAGTAAACAGCGAATTTGCTTAATAACTGCTGTATTTGTTTAACAACTGTGACATCCTCTTAATGACTGTCATGAAAATGGCTGCTGCTGCAAAAAAAGTTGTTGCAATATACAACTGTAATGGGCAGGCTCCATTGCAGTTGTATTTCGGGGAGTATCTGCACTGTCTTTCTACTTCATTCTTCAAGATAGTGACTAAATTAGTAGACCAGCAAAATACTGGGGACATAATATATTTAGATTTCAGCAAGGCACTCGACAAAGTAGACCACAACCTACTTCTTAGTAAACTAGAAAAAAGTGGAATAGATAGCACCACCACTAGATGGACTCGCAACTGGCTGACAAACCGTACTCGAGTAGTCCTTAATGGGTCGAAGTCTACATGAAGGGAAGTAAGCAGTGGGGTGCCACAAGGTTCCCTCTTAGGCCCAGTATCTTCAATATCTTAATGACTTAGATGAGGGAACAGAAGGGGAACTTACCAAATTTGCAGATGATACTAAGCTGGCAGGAATAGCTAACACCCAAGAAGATAGATGGATCTTGACAGACTAGAACACTGGGCCATATCTAATAAAATGAAATTCAATGTAGAGAAAAGTAAAGTCCTACACTTAGGCAAGAAAAATAAAAAGTACACATATAGACTGGGTGAAACCTGGCTCAATAGCAGTTACTGTGAGAGGGATCTTGGAGTCTTAATGGACAACCAGCTAAATATGAGCCAGCAATATGCAGCAGGAGCCAAAAAAGCTAATGCAATCCTAAGTTGTATTAACAGTGATACAATCAAGATCAAGGGAGGTACTAATACCACTCTATAAAGCCTTAGTAAGACCACACCTAGAGTACTGCATCCAGTTCTGTTCACCACATTACAAAAAAGATGTTGAGACTCCAGAAAAAGTACAGAGAAGAGCAACCAGGATGATTAGGGGACTGGAGATTAAAACATACGAAGAACGGTTACAGGAACTGGTTTTGGCTAGTCTAGTAAAGAGAAGGACCAGGGGAGACATGATAGTGGTCTTCCAATATTTGAGGGGCTGCCACAGAGAGGAAGGAGTCAAGGTATTTTCTAAAGCACCTGTAGGCCAGACAAGGAATAATGGATGGAAAGTGAACAAGGAGAGATTTAACCTGGAAACAAGGAGAAACTTTCTGACAGAACAATCAACCAATGGAACAGCTTGCCCTCAGAAGTTGTGGGAGTGCCATCACTTGAGACTTTCAAGAAGAGATTGGACTGCCATCTGTCAGAAATGGTGTAGGGTCTCCCGCTTGATGACCTTCAAGGTCCCTTCCAACTCTTGATTATCTGTTATCTGTTACTGCTATAATAAGTATGTAATAATATCCTACACTAAGACCAGTGTTACCATCTTTTATTCTTAATGTGAACTAAAGCTTTATGGACAGGCATGTTACTTCAAGAATTTGGGAGGTTCATTGCATTGCTCAAGAAATAATGCCTTTTTAATAATCAAAAGGATGATAGCTTAATCTTATTCCTTCTGATGCCTTGCAGCTTATGAACTGCTTTTTGAAATTTGAAGCATATAATTTTGCATTGCAGTATATAAAAATTAACACTATTTCTATTTTTAATTTATACATTAAAATTGTTGGCTCACTTTTCTTTGAGTTCAGGGTGATAACGTATACATAGCTCTTGTTCCTTCATTTTTTTGATCACAACAATCCTGCTAGATAGTTTGGATTAAGGAAGAATAATTGCTTCAAAGTCTCCAAGTGAAGTTGGGAGAGCCCTTGAAGGCCAGAGAGTGGGGGCGCAACTCACTTCTGGGAGCAAGATGTTCCACAGGGTGAGAGCAACAGCAAAGAAGGCACTCTTCCTAGACCCTGCCAGTTGAAAATCTTTAACTGACAGCATCTGAAACATATCCTCCCTTGTTAAGTTAAATGCAGGTAGTTAAATGCAACATCATATTACCATAACTTGCAGCTTCCTGCTTACTTCCCCACTGACTTTGTCAGAAGCTGGCAGTGAAGGTTGCAAATGTCAATCATATAACTGCGGGCTGCTGTGACCATTGAAAATGTATGCAGGTTGCCAAGCGCACACATTGTAAGATGCCGATGTGCAAAGCATTCTTGACTTAATCACTAGAGATGGAATAGTTCAATAGAGCCAATAGGAAATATAGCATGCTGCTATAATAAAGTACCTAACAATGATGAATTTTGATGCTTTATTCGTTGATTAAAAGAATATACATTTAACATAAACCATACAACATCAGTCATCAAGTCAAACACTCAGCTGGTTTCCTTACATTTTCTGTCAGGAGTTACCTTACTCTGATCACATAAGATAAAATCTCACCACATCTGGCATTTACACACACTGTGCCAGTGGATTCACTCTACTGATGTACATATAAAATCCGCATGGTATGTGCTCACTGGAGACAAAACAGCGCACACCTGTCAAAGGTCATTTTAATATAAGATGGTAAAACCATTTGTAAAACACATATAAACTTTTCCATAAATAGAATCATATCTGGACATCTGTTGCATAAATTGTGTTTTCCAAAGCTTACAATATGGCAGCCAGGTCTCAGCACTGCTGGGCACCCACGTTGGCCACTTACTTTATTATTGCAGACTGTCCTTAACGTTAAATGCACAACATTCGTACCACTTAAAACTTGGGTCAGGTGGAAGTCTCACAGAGACCACGTCTGTACCGCGGTTGCCCTGAAACAGTTTAAATCGGCTTTTAAAGCCTCTCAGATATAACAAGATTTTAAAACATACTTCATGGAATGTTCTTCATGCATCATAGCAGCTCATACCTGTGATAGAACAAGGTTTGTATCGGTTTCTTTTCCTTTCTTTACATTCACTATTCACAGTGAAACAGGTGCATGTTTAAGAGTTCTGAGGTTGCTGACTGAGCCACAGCACAGCTGTGTACCACAGGTCGAAATTCGACCTTATATATTACAATCTAGCAGTACCTGGCTGGCCAAAAATTGGCCTGCCCCTGCCAGCATGTGGGCACTTCTTCATTTTAATCTATTCTTTGGCAGCTGACACAGGCGCTGACAGAGAGAATCCAGTGACTTAGTTGCTAGGGATTTCACGACTAATGTTTGTTTGCAAGCAAAGTAGACTTATAAATTTATATCTAAATTGTTAGGGTTTTACCCCACTGGAGTGTATAATCTTAACATTTCTTTTCAAACCTGGGCCCGAAGCTAACTGGACAGAGAAGCTGACAGAACACGAGAAAAAGAAGATATAATTAATTTACAGTGAAACTACAGCTTATAGCCTTCAGAGTCAGGTAAACCTCTGAATAAGCTACACAGTGCAAGAAACTACTGTTCATATTTAAGGAGGAGATTGCAGAATGGCAGTAATTCATGCTTCAGATATTGTATGTAAAATCAAAGCAAGGTTTACAGCAAATGGTATTGATCATCTTGATTTAAAAAAAAAAGCTTAAGTAGCATGCTACCAATTTACATGACAATGACCGCATTCACCGGGCTATGAATAGTGAAAAGATTTTTGGCTTCTGAGCACAAAAAACTCCGACAATAGTAAAATCAGTGAAGTTGCAGAGTTACTCAGTACAAAAAGAAAGTTAGCTGGCAATCTCACAATAACCTTCAGCCTCATCTGAGTTTTGTTTTGTTTTGTAGACAGTCCATTAACCGTGAAAGCCCTAAACATTGCCACTTTCAGCTTCTAAACAATACCCGACTACGTTCTTTGATCAAGAAGTAGAATATACATATATAATTCTATATAGCTAATACTGATTAAACACAGCACAAGAGGGGTTAATTCACACTACTGAAAAACATAATAGGACCCTACTTGCATATGTAACCACAGGAACTGTAAATAAAGAGAACTAAATGCCTTCACTGAAGCTTTGCATTTCTCTGTAAAAATGACGAGTTGGCTCAGTAAACACACTGAGCAATTCTATGTCCATGACTGCATGCCAGGGTCGACCCAATCCAAGGGATACCTGCTCAATGAGATTATGCACTGGATCTACATCCTGATCAGCCAGTTCACCATTGTCAAAATCAATGCTTTCTTCAGTTACTTCAAGCACTTTCAGATCAGACCCACGAAGGCGAGCAATGGCAATCAGGTTGTGAGCCCAAACAGTATAACCTGAAACACAAAACCACACATTATTTTACTGGATTTCAGTTTGCTTCCTCCCTCCCTATTCTAGGGATTTAACATCAAACAACTAATGCCTTGCTATTGCTTTCCTTTCCATCTAATAATCTTCTCATTTGACAGTCCTCTAAATTCGTGATCACAAATTGGCTTTTACTCTTTTGTTACCAATTTTTATTAAAATAATATATCTAGGTAATTTGTGTCAATAAATTTATCATTTATACATATGCATTAAGCAAGCTGCTCTATTAGCACAGCACACAAGAATTTTAGATAAAGCAGGCAGTTGTCTTAAGACTTGCTGGAAGTTATTTAAAAGCAAACAGTAATATATAAAACAAAAACAAGTAATTTTTAAGCTATGGTTCCTTTCTTCCAATTTGATTGTTTTGCAATTGTCTCAGCCTTGGATTATAACAATTTCTGCACTTTTAATTCCTAATATATATATGCATAATACAGTGTGCTAAAGCCAATGGGAAGCTTAATTCCTCTTTATACTCTTTATGTAAGTTTTCTTTCTCATAAGAAAAATAGTTATGAAATTATAATTGTGTATCTGTACACATATACTAATGATCAACGCTAAGTGATTTTCTAAGTGATCAATCCTTTTAACCTATGGAATTGCGTACCATGTATTGCCAGAAGAGATAACCTTGTGCACCTCCACGCCAATAAAACCAATGGATCTTCGGTCCGGTTGTCACTGAGATCTGGGAAGCCAGACATATCTATCACATCATTCATTAATATGAAGTGAGTGAGGAACTTATCATACTGCCTAGATATGAGATCAACAACAGCGCCTGAAACGCAAGTAATGTAGCTGTCAAAATGGATCCTTTCCAGTGGGATACTAGGTTTAAGAATCCTTAACATGTCATCACTCTTGATATCAAAAGCTATTATATAGACCCGAAGATTAGTGCTGTTGCGTGTTAGGGCTTTCCAATCTTCATCTTCTGGCATGTTCTCCAAGGATTTGTGCATTACAGAAATATTGTGGACCAGAAGAGAAAGTCGATGCAAAGGCACATGGTTATTGTCAGCCAAAACTCTCGCCATTTCTCCTGTAAAATCACAGAAATCCAAGGCAAGCGAGCGTAGATTGATAAAGCGCTCCATTTCAACTGCTGTGATAAGAGTGGTATTACCCGGAATGTGGTTATCCAGTAGGCTCAGGTGCTCCATGGTGCTGGCAATGGAATTTGAGAGAGATGACAATGATGTGGGTGTTACAATTTGTAGCATAAACCCACATGACAACCATTTCAGTTGCCTGCTGTTTCCCAAAATTTCTTCAAATAGCTGCTGTATTCTACAAGAAAAAAAAAGCAAACGTTTAAACCTTCCATAATAAATTCAGAGACAACAGGTAAGCAAGAAAATTATACTGTTCTCCAATGTTGCACTGTCTACAGAATTGCTATATTTAAATGTTGGAGGTAGAAATGGCACTGCCATACTATTCTGTGAAAATCCACTTGTCGGTTCAGAATTTAAGTTCCTCAATTGCTCTATTTTAAGTAAACATAACATAAGATCAATGTTTGCCTTCTGAAATTCTGCATTCTGATTTGCTCTGTTCCCCTTTTTTATTCAATATATGCTCAGTTATACACAGCTAGAACTCCTACAAATGCAAATTGATGAACTAAATAACATTACCTATCTGTTTCATGATATCAACATTTCTCATTTAAATAATATCCCAAAGTGAAATTATTCAATGTACCAATTGATTTGAATATAAACAGGTGGATGTGACATTTCCTGATAAAAATGCAGTCATCATGTTTTATAATATTCACTTTCAAGTCATAATTGGACATTTGTGAACTTGTTTATTTTGTCAATGTGTTCACCTTAAAGCGTTAGAGATACAGTAATAACCAACTGTTCTTTATATATGTAGTCCATGTGACAATGGTGATAACAATTACAACATTCTTTCCTTAAGAAAATCAAACTGTTGGGTATGATTTTCTAACCTACATTGCATTCTAATCAGAGGTGGTATTCAGCTGGTTCTGGCCGGTCCTGACAGACCGGTAGGGAAAATTTTGACTGGCCCCGCCCACCTGCCCCTGCTCTTACCTCTCCCCTCTCCTATATGCTGCTGTTTATTAGCTCAGCTGATTCGTGCGGCAGAGCGGATTGCTGTGCCTCAGCTGAGCTAAAAACCAGCACAGCTCACCAGGGAAGGGCCGTTTCTGAGCCCTGCACGCTCACAATTTGTGTGTTTGGCGTGCACATGTGATAGGCACGCCTGCGCAGCTCACCAGCCTTGATTCAGAGGGTGGAGTTTGAGCACTGCCTATGCGCGCGGAAAGCATGCGATTGGCACACGCACATGCAAAGCAAGTTCCGAAGCAAGCTCCAAACCGGTAGGAAAAATCTTTGAAACACACCCCTGATTCTAATTACTCTGTGGAGAAAGTCCAAAAAGTAGCTGACAGTAAGCAAACAAGCCTTATGATTGAACGGTGATCAGAATCCAACCATGTAATTAGTCCGTATCAGAAAGTTTTGAAACTGCATACAAAGTTTTGTTTGGAAAGCTGCAAACAGGCATATAAATTACAGCTCTCTGGAAAATAGAAATATCTTCAAAATAAAAATCTATACTAGAAACACAGAAACATAGAAAACTGATGGCAGAAAAAGACTTAGTGGTCCATTGAATCTGTGCTTTGAGTTTGTTTTCTGTTTAATTTATTTACTTATTATTTTTACTTATTATTTTTGCATTTTATTTATTTTTGTTTTAATTTTTGTCCAACTTGTTAGTTACTGATGACTGATCTACTATCTCTGCTGAAGTTGGTTCCAAGCTTCCACTACTCTTTCTGTAAAGTAATACTTTCTAACATTACTTTTGAACTTCCCTCCTGTCCAGGGGTGGGATTCTACCTGTTTGGCCCGTTTCTATAGAACCGGTAGGTCCGAAGATCAGCTGACACTGAACTGGTTCTCTCTGAAGATCTTCTTTTCTTCAGTTGGGCCCGCCTGCCCGCCTGGGCTCTAGGCCAGTGGTCGCCAACCAGTGGGCCAGGGACCACTGGTGGTCCACGAGAAAATGTTGGTGGTCCGTAGACAAATGTCACCCCCAAAGCAATTTATCCAGGCTGTGCAGGAACAGAAGGCTGCACTGCCCACATGGCCCGTGGGAACACAAGGCTTGCATCACTTGCATTGCAAACAACACGAGGTAGCGAGGGGAGGGGGAAAGGGCGAAGGGGGGAACTTGTCCCACGTGCCTGGCCTGGCCACTGGGCTGCTTCTTTCTGCTTCTTTGTTCTTCTGCTTTTGGCTGCATGCAAGGAAAGCAGCAAAAGTCTTTCTTTCTCTCCCCCAAACTCCACCAGAAATGAGTCTTTAGGACTCTGCAAGGCCTTCTGCTCCAAGAGGCTGCGCCGGCGTGACAAGTCTCACAAAGTCTCTCTGGCAGTTTGGGGGAGAGAAAGAAAGACTTCTGCTGCTTTTGCTGCTTTCCTTGCATGGAGCCAAAAGTCTCTCCCCCCCCCCCACCCCCAAGAACGGAGCTGGAGACGGTATCCTACAATCCCAAATAAAGAATGATTGATTGGTAGAAAAATGGGGTGGGGAATTTTCCTGCAGGCTTTTGGGGGGATTTTCCCCCAAGTTCTCTGCTGCTTTCTGCAGAGACCCTGGGAAAACGTCAGCAAGCCACCGTCAGTCAAAATTCATATTAGTGGCCCGCGGGATTTACAATTATGAGTTTGGTGGTCCCTGAGGTCCAAAAGGTTGGCGACCCCTGATCTAGGCTGTCCTTTATTCTTACCTTAGTTGCTTTGCGTAGCACAGCTGAGTGCCGCTCATCAGCAGGAGTTGGTGATTGCTTGCAGAAGTTGTTTTGCAAGTATTGTGCACGTGTGCTCAGCAAAGCGCACGCTCACTGAACCGGTTGTTATGCCGGTAGGATCCCACCCCTGCTCCTGTCAGTTTGAGAATAATCATTGTTCTCCCTTAAAACTAGTAAAAGCACGATCAAATAAGGTTTGAATGGTGTATGCACCATTTATATCAGTTTCTTGCAAACACACACAACTGTATGTTTTTGCAAGGTGAAAGATTCTGGAACAAAATTCTATATGGCCCAAGATTTTATCATTGATAGAAAATAGGAATCCAGCGATGCTTGCATCCTTTATTGACTATGTGGGAGGTATTACAACAGGGATCCCCAACTCCTGGGTCGTGGCTCACCATAAGCCACGGAAGCAGCCACAGAAGCAGCGGAAGAAAGTGCTTACATGAGCAGTGGGTGAGTGCATGCACACACATCCCCACTTGCACAAGCAGCTGGCAAGTGTATGTGCACATATTCCGTTTTCATGAGCAGTGGGCACGCGGGCCTGCTGTTCACACAAATGGAGCTGCCCGCACTCTTACCTGCTACTTGGACAAAACCATCCCCTCTCTCCCCGACCCCCACCTGTCCGCCAAGCTGGAAAGGTTGGGGAACTCTGTATTACAAGATCTCTATAAAGTGTTTATGGATAAATTAATTGTATCTGTAGCTATGCAATAACTACTCAAAGCTTACAAAATATCCTTTTGAAATAATTGCTGGAATAGGCAATGAGATACTCTGTGAGAAAAATGTGAGTAAAGCTACAATTTTTGCTGATTTGCTTATTATTTAATATTCAACTCACTGGAAGCAATGAAATACGCTGATTGATTCTCAGAAACAATTCAAAATTTCAAATAGCATTAATTATATGTTCAGTATTACTCCACTGAAAACAATGCTGTTTCATAACAATACTGTTTCAACATCCAGATGAATATTCTGCATATGACATAAAGTTGCTAGATTTAGGTAAATTTTTGAAAGTCACTGCTAAAGAATTTTTGCACTCAAATTTCCTTGCACTTACGTGAAAGGCATCTAATTTTTTTATAGATCGCATAACATTTTTGCAGGCCTGCTCAGAAAAGGTCTTGCAACAAGAATGGAATTGATTAGATAAATGTATAGTCCAGGCGTGTGCAACCCACATTCATGGGCACCATGCGGCCATGGACAGCTCATACAGATACAACAACAAGTCATTTAATGACTGTTCAAAGTTAGAGTAGCACTGAAAAAAGTGAGTTATGGCTTTTTTTCAAATTTGCAACAGTTGTAGCCCCATGGCCACTTGAACAAAATTTAAATGTATGGCAATTGACTCGTATTTATGACAGTTGCAGTGTCCCAGGGTTATGTGATCACCTTTTGAGGCCTTTTGACAAGCTTAACCACCATGTTACTAACTTAACAACTGTAGTGATTCACTTAATAACTGTCTCAAGAAAGATAGTAAAATAGGGCAAAACTCAGAAATGTTTCACTTAGCATCAAAAATTTTGGGCTCAATTGTGATTGTAAACCGATGACTACCTGTAATGTGGCATTATATACACATATACATATTACTAATTATATCTACCATTCAGTCCTGCTTTATGGCTACTTTCTGAAAAGAGCTGCACAGTGCCAGTAATAATAACTAACAGTGTACGTAATACAGATACTGCAAAATCACAAGCAATTTAGATCTGTAACTATGTAATGGCTTTGTAAAACCATTGTATTTACAATTGTTTATATGAAACAATGCATTGAGTTTGCTACAGTAAAATGATGCAGATAACTTACTGCTTAATCTTTTTGCCATCTGGATCTACTTTGCTGAGGTATGTGTTTGATATAATTCCATGTTGTTGCAGAATGCTTATATCACCAAAGAGACTTAATTTCTGAAGATTCCTATTTAGAAAAATAAAATAAAATTCAAAAGGGGAAAAAATCTTACATTTTAATTATCTATTTATCGATTTACCTCAAAAACATTTCTGTTTTTTAGGGTGTCCAAAACCTTACATATGCAGAACGGGTAGTTCTAGATACAGAACTATAACACAGGTGCTTGGTCCAGATATAGACCTGGAACAAGAGATGGTCAGCAGTCCAAGATTAGCGAGGAAAGAGAAGCCAAAAGAAGATCAGGGGAAGAGTGTGCAAGTTGGGAATGCTTGGCAGTGGAGGACATGCTGATGCATTGCTAAGGAAAAGTAAGGAAAAAGGAGAGGGAAAATTGAGGGTTGTATGGGCCAGGTAGAAGAGGAAGTGAGATGCACCAACCTTACTCTCCCATCCTATTAAGATCTCTCTAGTTTTGTTTCAGGTGAAACCTAAAACAACCAGGATATTCCAGGTTTCAATTTGGCTGAACCTACAACCCTCACTTAGAAGAGTCTGGTTGAACTTTGGAGCTATTGTGGTTGTTTCTCGTACATGGACAA